CAGGCACAAAGTATTACAACTTTTCATGGTCGAAATATGTTGTGTTCCAATTCTGATAACTCATATAATATCAAAAACACTAAGGGAAAATAGACCTCTTCTATCCGTACTTTGGGTAAATTTTAGGGTACTGTATATTCATAGTAAAAAAATCTATCTAGACATTCAATTATTCGGATTTTGGGGCATTGATACTTATCCAGTCCTTGATGATTGAATACTAGGCCTTAGTTATCTAAATCATAGACCCTCAACCCTAAAATTGTGCATGTAATTTGTTGCATATATTTCGATTAATCATGACCGTCAATTATTATTTCTAATTAAATTGATTTTACTATGCAATTTATAGAATTAAAACCTAGATTTTGATCTTTACTTTCTATTGAATTTTGAGTAAAATCAAAGTATGGCATACACTGAGTAAGAAAATAATATATATATATATATATTATTATTTTGGGGCATGACTCGCTTCTACCGTCACTCTAGAAAATGGCCAAGTGTAACCACCTCCTAAAACGTAGTATAGCGGATTTGGGTTTTAATGTCAATCCGGGTCCTAAGTGTGATGACTACTCCGTGAATTCTTATTATTTAGCAATGAAAGTGTAGTGAAGGTCCAAACAAGCAAAGCAGTTAAAGGTTGTTTTCAAGTCGAGAGAGGTCACCCGGATATGGTTCCCCCTAGACTGCAGTTAAGCCAGATTGTAATTTACCAAGTTCAGGTTCAATGATAGTTATACTGCGGAAGGTTCTTAAACAGTCTGCAGTCTCGAATAAAGGTCTACAGACCCTCTCAATCTGAGTAAACAGGTTGAGGCCCTAACGAACCAAACCTCCACTACCGAAGTAAATCCGGTACAGAATAGTGAATTGACTCCTCGACTAAAGTCGTCAATTCACTACCCTCAATCAAGGGTTCTCTATCAACCTAGTCAGATATTCTCTTTCTAGGTTAAAGCAGAAACAACAGGAATTTGATCAGGATTCATGTCATTCAACAAATCAAACCTCAATTGAACATGATCATATCACTGAATTCGTACTTGGGTTCATACAATCAGACCTAACATACAAATCTAGGGTTCTTCATAGCCAGGTGAATAAGAAAGTTACTCCATAGAGAGAGACGGGAAATCTAGCTCAGACGCGGAAACCATACTGTGAAGGATGAGATTCTGCTTCTGTCACTCAATCAGCTCTTCTCCAAACTCGAGCTGGGCTCCAATGGTGATGGAGTTCTATTTAAGGCACTTGAAGAATCAGGTTCGTCACTTTCTCTCTTTAGATATACGCTTTTTCTCTCTAAAACTCGGAACCCCTCACTTTTGCCCTTATTTTCCCATAAGAAGCTGTCAATCGCGATCCCCGGTCAGAATACCCGGTCGGGTATTTTAGGTGGCGACCGGGGATTCTTGAAACGCATCGTCGAGGACCGGGGATTAATCCCCGGTCAAGGTCAAGAATACCCGACCGGGGATTTATTGTCAATGCCCGGGCCCCCTTCTGCTTCTCAAACGCCCAAAAGAGATTTTCCCCGGTCTGCTCCGATTAATACCCGGCCTGGTATTTCTGTTCATGGCCGTGTATTTTGCTCCTCTAGCACACTTCAACTCAAACGTGCTTCTTTCGCCCCAAACTCGTTTCTACGCCTCGATGCCAACGCCAGGCCCTGAAATATGACATAAACACACAACCAAGCGTGAAATCGACTTAAAACACGAGAATCAACATCTCAAACTGCTCAAGAATAAGGGTAAAAACATGTGCAATTAACGGTCTATCAGGGCACGATACTATACCCTAACCATTGATGAGTAAACTCTAGGTCTAATTATATAAATCAGATATTCTAAACACTAAGATCGTGTATATAATTTCTTGGGTGTATTTCGACAAAACATGACCGTTGATTATTATTTTCCTATGAAATTTATTTTTGTGTATGAGATTTATAGAAGAGGACTTAGATTTTAATCTTTTCAGGTTAGGGTATAGTATCAAGTCTCAAACTTTGTTTACTTCAAGGTCTAGCTATGCCTTTAATTTAACTAAAGATATGATAGAACCATCAATATATATTATTATTTGTATGTATAACTTCAAGTTAAAATCACTATTCCTTACTAAAAATTAGAAAGATTAATAAATTTGTTTCCTCTTTTTCACTGTTCACCTATTTTTTATATTGTACACAATTTTACTATTAGCTCTTTTTATATTCAGCCATTTGTTTATGAATTTTTTTTGTTTTCCATCTTTTTCACCCAATTTTTATTTAAGGTTTATTTTCATTTAATCATCTATCTCGACACTTTGAATGTGATACTTTCCACTGTTCACCAGACTTTTAATACTCTACACCTAGTTTTACTACCAGATTTTATATACTCTACACCCAATTTTACCATGAGATTTTTTTTTCAAAACATTTGTTTGTTTACGCAATTTTTTTTTCCATCTCCTTCACCCAATTTCACTGTAATTATTTTTCCCTTTAGACAAATAGCTCGGTACTTTGAATATGATACTTTCCACTGTTCACCTAATTTTTTATACTTTGCATTCAATTTTATCATAATTTTTTGTTTTCCTTCTCCTATACGCAGCTTCATCACAAGGGTTTTCCCTTAAGACAACTATCTCAATATGAAATTTTTCATAACTTGATTTTATTATTAGACCACACACTGCGAATTATATATGTAACATCATTCTATAACAATTACGTAATTACAAATACATCATATAAATCTTACAAGAGGGATAGTGATTTGGGTCATAAGTGTTGCGTATAATATAGCATATGCGACATAAATCAAGTGATGACTTATCTATGTTGTATAAACTACCTTTTAAGTAACATTTAAAAGAAGTGTTGCCACTGTGAACTATAAGCAACACCTTTGATAAGGGCTGCAAACATAGTGTTGGCAAAAACCACTTTTCCCGCAGTGCCTTATATGCCAATTAAAGAATACATACAACCAATGCAGCCAAAATCGCGCTATAAAACTTAAAAGCTTACGATTTTACGGTTCTAGGTCACCAAACCGCTTTCGTTTCCATATAAAATCTATAGGATATAAAATCGTACTAAATTGCGCTCTAAAACTTAAAAGCTTATGCTTTTGCGTTTCTAGTTCACCAAAACGCTTTACGCTTGTATGCTTCTAGTTAGCTAAATCTTCCTATTCTATTTGTGAGTTATTATAAAGACCTATTCCAAAGCCACAGCTTGGAGGGGATTAGCATGTCTAATTTACCCTTTCCTGGTATGGTTAATGAGGATCAAAATTTGGGATTGATTTCACCGGTCACACCGGAAGAGATTAGGAAGGTGGTCTTTAGTATGGGAAAAACTCAAGCACCCGGACCGGATGGTTTCACTGTTGGCTTCTTTCAAGCATACTGGGACATAGTTGGCCCCGATATCATCCAAGCAGTCCTTGCTTTCTTTCATTCTGGGCACCTCCTAAGAAGCTTCAATCGTACGTGGATATCCCTTGTACCTAAAGTAGCGGAGGTGCGAACCATGAAGCACCTACGTCCTATTAGCTTGTGCCAAGTCTTTTACTAAATAATCTCAAAAATCCTGGCTAATAGGCTTAGTATGATTTTTCCCCAACTAATCTCTGGGTCCCAAAATGGGTTTATCAAGGGGCGTCAGATTACTGATAATATCTTAGTCAGTCATGAAATCACTCATCACCTGAAAACCATACCTGCATGTCAAAAGATGTGGATGGCCCTGAAATTGGATAGGGAGAAAGCATATGACCGTATAGAATGGCCTTTTATGTTAGAAATGATGAAGGAATTAGGGTTTCACCCCAAGTTTATAGCCTGGATTAAGGAATGTATTACTACGGTCTCATATTCTATAATCATTAACGGTAACCCAACCGAGTACTTCCGACCTTCTAGAGGACTCAGATAGGGGGATCCTCTCTCTCCTCTGCTTTTCGCTATATGCTCAGAAGGATTCTCTGGCTTGTTGAGTCAGGCCGTGACTATGGGATTCTTGGAAGGAGTGCGAATCTGACCTACATGCTCGATGGTTTCCCATCTTTTCTTTGCAGATGACTCCTTTTTGTTCATCGAAGCCTCGTCTTCTTCATGTATAACTCTACTTTCTCTTCTGCAAGTGTATGAAGGGCTCAGTGGACAAAGGGTCAATTGGCCAAATCTGCAGTAATGTTCAGTCGGAATACCCTTCCGGATGCTGCACAATCAATGGGAACACAACTGGGGGTTGGTAGTATCGGAGAGCAAGACTCATACCTTGGGTTACCTTCCGTCTTAGGAAGGTCTAAGAGAGATGCTTTTCTATTCATTGAGGAAAAGTTCCACCAGAAACTTGATGCTTGGAAGCAAAGGGTTCTATCCAAAGCTGCCAAGGATACGCTTATAAGAACATCTGCGACTAACTTGCCTGTCCATGGTATGTCATGTTTTAAATTTCCTAAAGAAACTTGTCGTCGGTTGAACGGACAAGTAGCCAGGTTTTGGTGGGGATCCTCTACAAATTATGAACACCCTATTCATTGGGTCTCATGGAGGGGAATAGCTCAAAGTAAGTTCCATGGCGGTTTTAGGGACTTTCAGGCGTTTAATCAAGCGCTCTTGGCAAAACAATGTTGGCGTATTTGGACCAACCTAGAATCTTTGTTAGGCCAGATCTATAAAGGCCGCTACTTTAGCTCTTCATCCATTCTAGAGGCTCGGGTGGGGTCTGATGGAAACCTACTTTTTATGTTTAACCATAATTATCAATATTAATATTATTAGGATTTATCTAGATATGGTTATTAGTCTTTGAGCCATATTAGGATAGTCTATTTGGTTTTTCTAGTCTTTCGCTATAAATATGTAATTGGTCTTTTATTCATGAGCAGTCAAGCAGAATATTAAGAAACCCTCTCCAAAAACCTCTTCTCCCAATCCTCTCAATTTTCGTCCCAATCCCTATAAAGGCCTAGGCCGATTCTCTATCTATCTTTCTCAAATTCCTAATTCTGTTCTTAATCCCTAAATCCCCAATTCCCGATAGAACCCTAATTCCAGGTTCTATCATTTGGTATCAAAGCCTCGGGTTATGGGAGGGTCTCGACATGGAAGTTCAGGAAGAAGAACCGAGGACCCGAAGATGGCTGGGGTTCTGAGAAGAAGAAAAAGTTGAAGTCGGAGGTCGGAGCGGAAATCCATGGATGGCGCCAAGGAGGACAGGGGAAGGGTCGTCGAGTCATCTCGTCGTCGTCACGAGGAGAGAGCGCGTCGCCGTGCCGCCAGCTGGGCGGTTGGTCGTCGAGTCGCGAAGAAGAGAGAGAGGCGGCGGAGAAGAGGATCTTCCCGGCACCGTCAAACGCAGCAGAGGTGAGGTCATAGAAGAGGTCGGGAGTGGACAAACTTCCCCGCCGATGGAGGAGGGCATTATCGGTGAGGAAAGAAGTGGAGAAGAAGAAGAAGGGTTGTGGGCCATCGAAGAAGATAGCGCCGGAGATAAGGCTAGAGGCAGGCCAGCGCCGCTTGTGGAGTACTCCGCAGCCGATAAGGGAGCCGAAGGAGAAGCCACTGGAGAAGAAGGACGGAGCGAGCGGCGGGGAGTCTCCTCCCGCGGCCACGGAGATGAAGGCATTACGGAAGGAGGAGACTCGACGGGACGAGGCGGCGACGGGCCTGGCTGCGTCGCCAGAGCTGGAGAAGGAATTGTCGGCGATGGCGGGCGGCCCGGCGGGGAGAAAGAAGACGTAGGAGAGTGCTGGCGGCGGGACTCTCCAATCAAACCCTAGGACGACGACCTGGGGTCGAGTGGCGAACCGGTCAGATCAGCTGGGCCAAATACCTGAGGCCGAGTGGTCCGATGAACCGACCCTTGAATCAAAAAATGAAGTAAAGTGCAGGTCGAGGCAGGTTCCATTGCTGGCGGGGTCGGGCCGAGCGCAAGGAGAAAATGGTGGGCTGCGCAGATATGGAGCACGGGCTGGCACATGTTGGGCTCATATGGGACTGGTCAATCCAGTGGAATAGGCTGAAGATTGAGCGAACTGGGCCACGTTTGCAAGGAGTAATTGAGCCCAAACTAGGTTGTGTTTTGATGCAGGCGGACTTGGAAGAAAAGAAAAAGGGCCTTGAAGGCTTATATGATGGGCTTACAAGAGAGCAAGGTCCTAACTTCAATGGAGAAGCAATTACTCATAATTATGGGCTTGTTCAAAGAAAGATGAATGAAGGCCTTACAGAAATGTTACTCAAAGTCAAGGATGTGTTCTTAAACAAGAACGAATCCTTAGATTTCCTAAGTCGTTGGGGTATGAGGCCAACGAAAGAGAAGCTATTCAAGTTTGAATCTGTCAAAGAAGGGAATAGTGGGCTCATGAAAGTGAAGTTCGAAAAGTTGGACCAGCACAAGAAGGTCAACGCAAGAGGTACAAGTCGAGTAGTAGAGCAAGATTGGAGGAAAAGAAAGCGCAAGAAATAGAGGATCAAATGCGCGGGTTGCACGAACAATGTGAAGAAGTGGGTTGAGTTGGTCAACCTTGAGGACAAGGTTGATTTTCAATGGGAAGGGGATGATGGAAACCTACTTTTTAGGTTTAACCATAATTATCAATATTAATATTATTAGGATTTATCTAGATATGGTTATTAGTCTTTGAGCCATATTAGGATAGTCTATTAGGTTTTTCTAGTCTTTCGCTATAAATATGTAATTGGTCTTTCATTCATGGGCAATCAAGCAGAATATTAAGAAACCCTCTCCAAAACCCTATTCTCCCAATCCTCTCAATTCTCGTCCCAATCCCTCTAAAGGCCTAGGCTGATTCTCTATCTATCTTACTCAAATCCCTAATTCTGTTCTTAATCCCTAAATCCCCAATTCCCGATAGAACCCTAATCCCAGGTTCTATCAGGGTCCAACCCATCATGGGGATGGCGAAGTCTACTTTATGGGCAAGAGCTTGTCCTTCAAGGATTACGTTGGCAAGTAGGAGATGGCCATGATATCAACGCTTTCTATGACCTATGGATCCCAGCTCTAAAGCCAGAAAGCCCTATAATTAGGTTGGGTAACATTAACTTTGCTCCGCAAGTGTCCTTTTTTATAAGAGAGGGTATAGGGGAATGGCATGTGTCGCGCCTCCACTATTGTTTTTATGCCAATCAGTTGACCTTATCTGTAAGATGGCTCTTCCGCGGAATGCTCAACCAGATGCCAGAGTATGGCACTTCACAAAAAATGGTAAATATTCAGTCAAGACAGGATATCATTTGGCTTTATAAGGTAATATTGATTACAAATAGAAAATCATTGGCTCATATTATTGATACTCCCATTTGGAAAAAGAGGTGGGTCATCGAAACTCCTCCAAAACTCAGATTCTTCATCTGGCAATGTCTCAAAGTGGTCCTCCCTACAACAGTGGCTCTCAAATCCCGCGGGGTTAACTGTCTAAGTCGTTGCCCTGTTTGTTGGAGGTTCCAAGAAAGTATAGAACATTTGTTTTTTCGTTGCCCCTTTGCCATCCAACTTTGGTATTTTGTGGGATTAAGTGATTTACTGAACTCGGTCCCAAGAAGAAATTTTAGTTTGTGGTGGCGTCAAAATTATGCTAGATGAGCAGTCCTAAACCCATATTCTCCAGATAGTGTGCCTCCTTTGGAGAATATGGAAATCAAGAAATAAAGTGGTATTTGAAAATACCCAGCCTCATGTCCGTTCGTTAGCCTTCCAATTCTCTTTCCAAATCCGCGTGGTTCTCTCTGCCCAGCCTGACTCGTCTCCCCTTCCTCGTGCTCCTGCCTCTGCTAGACCTCTTCTTTGGGATTGCCCGCCTCAAGACTTTTTGAAGATTAACTTTGATGCTGCTCTCCAAAGTGCTGGCTCCTCGTCTGGCCTGGTTGTCCGTGGCTCGGATGGGCATGTGCTTCTTGTCGTGGGTGCTCAGCATTATGGTATCTCGGATCCTTATCTTGCAGAATTCCTTGCAGCCAGGGATGAAATCTCTCTTGCAACTTCTAGAAGTTTGTCTCCGGTTATCATCGAAGGCGATGCAGAAGTGGTCATTCGTCAGCTCAAGCTTCGATTGGTGGAGGATTCGATTGGTGGCCCCATACTTCGAGATTTTTGATTTATTCTTGAGTCTTGTTCTCTCTGTATAGAATTTAGGGCAGTTCCGCGGACTGTCAATTGGGCTGCTCATAGAGTGGCACGTAAAGCCCTGCTGATGTCCCAACTAGAGTTAGTTTCTTTTGACTTTGTTGGTGGGCTTGTAAATGGGATGGGAAGGGATTGTGGATAGTGGTTCTTTCTAACTATGTTCTTGACATTTCTCGGGGAAAAAAAAAATTGGTATTCTATTCATGAAATTCCTTTTAAAAGGTATATTTTAAAGGTAAATCACCAACAATATGATACATTTGAGATTAGAAGATACATACCAGGTACTTGGATTCATTCTTAACTTCAATAGAGTGATCTAATTCACCAGCTAGGCGCTTCCCAATTTCATTAGCATAGAGGGGAAGGTGGTTTATTGTTAATATGAACTTATTGTTAAAATGTTATGAGTTGCTCTACTTTAGACATGAATTGCAGGTATTTATTATCTTATCTAACTTATGTTCACTCATATTTTATGTAGTATATGTCGTACTTAACACATTTTTAGCTATTTTACCGTATGCGTAAAATATCACGCTTTTACGCTTTGATTCTACGCTTTACGATTCTATCATTGTCCGCTTCTAGATGGAATTGCGCTTTTGAGTGCATTGCATACAACATAAATCTTTCTTAACAACTAAGACAACACGTAAACTTTATGGATAGATAATAACTTATTATATATCAATTAAGCAAGAATATTATGTAAGTATGATACAAATTCATAAAATACTAACTAAACTGTTGATGATCTCAACAATTTACTTACTCAAATGTTTCAATTTTTTAACTTAATTCACTTATTATTAACTAAAATTACTTTATTATGACCTACTATATTCAATATCCCATAAATTTGCATTACACAAATTATAACTTATGTAAGATAAGTTAACATTACGTAATTGTTTAATCAAATGTAAAAATTACTTGTAGCTTGATTTTATTATTAAAGCACACGTTAAAGTAGATTACATAACATCGTTGTATAATCGTTATAAAATATTTTACTTAAAACTTACGGAAGTGTCTTACTTAAACTATTTTGTGAATAACTTTATTTTAACTAAGTAATTAAATGAGTGGATGAAATTCTATTAAAAATCATTAGCTTATTACCGTCGCGAAAAATTAGTTTTATAATAACGCACTAGCTTGTAACCCGACCGACCCGTTGGTCGGAGGAGCTGAGCCGAATATTGAATTATTGGGATAACCCGTAGATTCAACCATTAAACTAAATTGGTCTAATGGTGAGTACCGCCTAGCATATCCCTAATAATCATACCAAAGTGAATATATTGGAACATAAACAGTACATCAAAAGTTGGTACAACCATGAAGTTAGACCATTAAAAACATACCAATGAAATTGAATAGCATCGAAAAACTTCAACTTCATTATATAATTACATGAGATCAGAAACAGAACACCATTAATTTGATTTATAAAACTTTCATCTTGTCGTCATTGTGCTTTCTGGTTTTTGTCAGGCCATGATAAAATTTAAGGAAATCAAGAACGAACAACACGTTTGGGATAGGAACCGCCGTTGTCGTATTCCTAGAGAATGGTGGTAAACACGGACTCACCTGCCAAACTGGTTTGGATTGAGATTTTTATCGTGTATCAGGGAACCATGTGATTATAAATTAGACTTGATCAAAACGGGCCAAAACTTAAAATTCAGCCTGTTTGACCGACCCATGCAAAATTCTAATTATTCGTTACTTTTAAACTTTCTATTTGAAAATAAAAAATAGTGAAAGAAAATAGATGACTGCAATTCGCCATTTGCACATCACTTATTCGGGAATAAAACCATAGAAATTCAAAAGAAACTGTTAGGATCGTTTTAATGTTTAAAATAACCAAATAGATCTTTCTGTTTAGTTTTTTACTAACAAATACCAAACGATTCCCTATAAAATACACTATAATTTTATCATTATGATATCAAATAATTATATAATATATATTTGAAATGATAAAAATTGGACTAATTGGGTTGGTCGAGATTGAACCATTGAATAACTTTAAACTACATTATATTTTAGCCACTAAAATATAAAATAATATAATAATATATATTATGCTAGAGAAAATAGCTTGTTTTAGAATGTCAAACCAATGATGTTCATTTGTTTTACTTGATGGCCAAATCCGGTGTAGGTCAGGCCCATTCAACTCTTTTATTTTATGGTTAGCGGTTAGCCCTTTAGATACCATGCATTAGTTTATTGTTAAATTTTTTTATTTTTAGCATAAAAAGAAGTATTGTTTTTGCCTTTTCATATATATTTTATCACCACGGAGAAATACAAGGGGTTAAAGAAAAAAATTGACACTCCTGAACCCGTTTAAATCCGCATGTGTACGGTAAGTTGGCCCGTTCCACAGAGGAAAGAGAAAAAAATTAACACTACCTATTCTACCCTTCCTACAAACGCTCATGGAGCAGGGAATTTGAAATGGGAGAAGGGGTTTTTCCTCCCTGCTATTATATGTTTTTGATTTAAAAGGATGCAACAAATGTACTTAGTGTGATTGGTTATGATCCTTGTTTTTCTTTAAAATGGACATGGTTCGAATCCCAGTACGTGTCTTTTTAATGAATAAAAAAAAGTAATTGTGAAGACCAAAATGTCCTTCCTACTTTCACTCTCGTTGCAGGAAATTTGAAATGGGGCTCCCGTTTTTCCCTTCAGTGTATTATATTATGTGTAGATGAAACAATAAATTGAACCCAATAGTCAAAGACGGCATTTAGCCAAAATAGCCATCGTCAAATGCAATCAAGCCACATTAGAACCACTTCGGGATAGCATGTATCCAGACATCCTATGCCATGCATTCTATTTCCCCACAAAGAAAAAGAAAAAAAAAGCATGGCATGGTTGCAAAAACTCATTGCATGACTTGTATATGTAGTGCATCACCATCGATCTCTTCTTCCACCTAATTATATTTACCAAAGTCCAACATACTACTTCGAGAGGAAGTCATTACTGTTTTGTCTGTTCTAACTTCTAAGCCCATAAGTCCGCTTTCTTCTTTGCGTGGAAGCCCTGCCGCGTCATTTATGTGGACTTTGTTTTGTCAGGACTCTCGGTGGGTCAATATTTTAGGGCTTCCTTACGTGGCCAAAAGCATATTCATGGAACAATATATCAGTTTTAGTTTGTCAAGTACCTTTTGGGCAAGGAACAGACGGCCATTAACTAATTGTTTAAGCTAACTGTAAGGATCCTTTGGCCCCAAGAAAGGAACTCAGTAGCAAGACTAATCAACACTTCTTACTAACCACTACAAGCTAGCATCACCAGTGACCTACCCGTGTGGAAAAAAAGACCAAAGACCAAGGTTACCACAATGCTATAAAGTCAGTGGTAGTGCCGAAACTAATGTAACAGTTGTTAAGAAAAGGGAGAGATCATCGATCAAAAGAAGAAGTGAAAAAAACTAGAGAGAAGAGAGCGAAGAAATGGCAGAGATAGCAGTGAATTTTCTGCTAAGCAAGCTCGTGCCCTTTTACGAGCATGAAGTGCAGCTAATGAGAGGTGGGAGGCAAGGGGTGGTGTATTTGAGAGGCGAGCTGGAAAGGATTAGAGCCTTTCTGAGAGTTGCAGACTCGTTAGAAGAGAGTGATGAGGAGGTCAAGGTATGGGTCAAGCAAATAAGGGACGTTGCTCATGACGCTGAGGATCTGTTGGATGAGTTCACAATCCTCACTGCACACAATCATGCCAATAACCAAAACACAGGCATCTTTGGTTTCCTCCACAAGCTGCACTGCTGCATCAACAACATGAAGGCTCGCCACCGGATAGCTGTGGAGATCCAAGGGATCGTGTCAAGGATCAGGGACGTCTCCCACGGCCACCAGAGGCTTCGTCAGAAGTTGTTTACTGCAAACAGCAGTGATCACACGGGAGATGATGCCCTTTTAGTGGAGAAGAGCGATTTGGTTGGGATTGATGAGCCCAAAAGGACCCTTGTGAGCTGGCTGACTAGTGGCGGTTCAGGGAGAGAAGTGATCTCCGTCACAGGGATGGGTGGATTGGGGAAAACAACTTTGGTCAAACAGGTGTATGATCACGGAGGGGTGAAAAAGCACTTTGATGTTCATGCATGGATCGCCATATCCAGATCTTACAAGATGGAGGAGCTTCTGAAGGACATTGTTCGACAACTGCTCACTTCAGACAGGAAGTCGATCCCAGAACGGGTGAACACCATGCACGTTAATGAGTTAAAGACGATGATCAAAGACATCCTCATCAACAAAAGGTACCTCATTGTTCTGGATGATGTCTGGCACACAAATGAGTGGGATGCTGTCAAGTATGCTTTGCCTGCCAACGATTGCGGAAGCAGAGTAATGCTTACGACCCGAAATGCTGATCTCGCCTTTGCCTTACGAATAGAATCAGAAGGGAAGGTCTACAACTTGGAGCCACTGCCTCAAGAGGAGTCATGGATGCTTTTATGCAAGAAGACATTCCAAGGAAACCCATGTCCAAACTATTTGGAGGATATTTGCAGGAGCATATTGCGGAAGTGTGAAGGGCTTCCGCTGGCGATTGTGGCAGTCAGTGGAGTTATAGCAACTAAAGACAAGAGAAGGATTGATGAACTGGAGATGGTGAGAAGATGCCTTGGTGCTGAAATTGATGGGAACAACAAGCTCAAGAACTTGAAGAAGGTTCTTTCTCTGAGCTTTAACGATCTTCCGTACCACCTGAAATCATGCTTCCTCTACTTGAGCATCTTTCCGGAGGATTATCGCATCAAGCGCATGAGGATCATTCGCCTGTGGGTTGCCGAAGGGTTCGTGGAAGCAAAACATGGGAAGGAATTGGAAGATGTTGCAGAGGACTACCTGAATGAGTTGTTGAGCAGAAGCCTTTTGCAAGTCGCAGAGTGGAGAAGCGACGGAAGGGCAAAGACTTATCGGATTCATGACCTGGTGCGCGAGATCATCATCTCAAAGTCAAGAGAGCAGAACTTTGCAGTGGTTGCTAAAGATAAGAACAACATCATGCTACCAGACAAAATCAGGCGGCTCTCCGTACACAACACCCTACAAAATGTGCAGCAAGAAAACAGGTCATTCTCTCAGCTGAGGTCTTTATTCATGTTTGGAGTGGCGGAACAACTGCCTCTACAGGCTCTAACTGCAAGTGGGTTTATGCTCCTTAACGTCTTGGATTTGCAAGGGACATCCCTGAAGAATTTCCCAGTTCAAGTCATGAACTTGTATTACCTCAAGTACCTCAGTTTGAAGAACACCAGAGTGAGCTCCGTCCCTCCATATATAGGAAAGCTTCAGCTCCTCGAGACCTTGGATTTGAAGCACACTAATGTCACGGAATTGCCTCCCAACATCTTGAAGCTCCAAAAGCTAAGTCACTTGTATGTGTACCGGTACCACTACAAGTCATATGGAGATTTTGACTCCAAAACTGGTTTCAAAGCTCTTGACAAGATAGGGGAGTTGAAGTCTCTACAAAAGCTTTGCTTCATCGAGGCAAGCAGTGGAAGTGATGGCCTAATGACAGAGTTGGGCAAACTAACTCAGCTAAGAAGGCTCGGTGTCCTGAAGCTGAGGAAGAAAGATGGCAAAGCTCTATGCTCCTCAATCGAAAACCTAATCAATCTTCGAGCTTTGTCCTTGATGTCAATAGAAGAAAATGAGATCCTTGACCTCCAACACATTTTCTCCCCTCCCCCGCTTCTTCAGAGGCTCTACTTGGCAGGTAGATTGGAGATGTTACCGCACTGGATACCTAACCTTCATAGCTTGGTCAGACTTCATCTTAAATGGAATCGACTTAACGAAGATCCTCTGGAATCTCTCCAAGTTCTTCCAAACCTTGTTCACCTTGAACTCTTACAGGTTTATGAAGGGGAAACTCTGCATTTCCGCTCTGGCGGGTTCAAGAAGCTGAAGCTATTGGGTATAGACAAATTTGATGGACTGAGGCGCATTTTAATAGATGTTGGAGCAATGCCATGTGTGGAGAAGCTATGGATCCAGAGGTGCAAGTTACTGGAAGAAGTGCCACTAGGGATTGAACACTTGACCAGACTGAAGGTTTTGGAGTTCTTCGACATGCCTCAGGATTTGATCAAGACATTGTCGTTGAACGAACCTGAGGGAGTTTACTCAAGAGTTGCCCACATCCCAGAAGTTTATGCTACATATTGGAGGGAAGCTGGCTGGGAGGTCCATTCTCTAGATAGTTGCAACTGCTCGCCTAGGCCGAATCATGTAATCAGAAATGAAGAGCTCCATCCTCGCTGGAAATAAGTTTACAAATGCGAAGGGTTAGCTGTGAAGCATCCGACTGCCATGGACAAGGAATATAATAATGGATGGCTAAAAAGGTATTATAGTTAAGGGTGTAGGAGTAAGAAGACATGATGATTCATGGGAATGCAACGTAACTTACAAATCAAAACCTAGAACTCCCAACGGGTCATCACCACTAAGGGTGAACCTGAAACTATAGATAAAGAAGCACGACGGGTCTTGTTGGCTAGTTAGCTCGTCATGTAATTTTGGTCTGTAAATAGCTGGGTGTATATAGAAATCTTTACAGTCACTTCCCCTCTCTCAATGGAAATGGAAATTTACCAATGTCAGCATCCCATAATGTGAACTATGAGGCAGCCATAACTTTGACCCATTTTTCTCATATTCTATTCCATATCTTGATGAATATGGCGTGTATGAACAATCATAAACATGCAGACCACAAGCAACAATTTAAAGTAATGCATATCAACATGGTAAGCCAACACAAAGGAAAGGGAGAAACTTAACAGAAGAGAATGCAGTTTTCCATGGCTGTATTGCATATCTTGTTCCGGTTACTTTAAGCCATAATCCTAATAGATAGAACCCAGTGAACATCATATTCCCCAAGGTTATCCACCATAAACATTACAGAAGTTTCTGAATCAGAACATTTCAGTGCCTATTGAACTCAAGTAACCAGGTATTACCACAATGACCCTTGAAAAGTGGTCAGGAATCCCCAACGGCTCCCGATTTGAACTTGAAGAGGGATAGGTCGCGGCTTGACTCCTTGAGCGAGGTCTCCACGCGATTGATCTTCTTGGACTTGGATTTCTTCGTCACGATCTTGGTTGTGTCGGTTTTCATGGTCTCCAGCTTCTTCGAAGCTTCGTCGATGGAGGATTTGAGGGACTTGTAGGAGCTGGTGCGGTAGTCGGTAGATCAAGATCCAGGAGATGGCCTCGCAGACGACGGCGGTACAGAGGGATATCCCGACCACCGTCAGGCTGTCGCCGTACTTGAAGGAGGAGAGGAATTGAGGAGTTGCCATCCTACTAGAGCCGTAAAGAGAGTTTGATACCGGAACCGATCAAGTCAGTAACTTTATGGTGAGTAACAATGAGTAATCTATTCAGTATTCACACAGCATCTTCTCTTTTCTGTAAAGATTTTAATTTTTCCCTCTTTTATTTTTGACGGACGATTTCTCACTCGTTTTAAGTCAAATTTTAATTTTTTTTGCCCAGTTAGATCAGATTAATTGTGCTCTTCAAAATGATATCCGCTTTGATATATTTTTCGAACAAAAAAAATTGAGTCATTTTTTACAAGTCTATACCATATAGTATTTGACTGGTATTGAAATAAGAGCATACCTATGGTTTGAAAAGCGTACCATGGTGGTATGAACAAACCAAAACTGTAGGATGATTGAATACATGATAATAGAAGTATATTAACTGTTATTTACGACTTTTAACATTGTGTACCACAAGATACCACCCCGTACCAGGGTGGTATTGTATGGTATTGTGTGGTATTTTTTGGTCCTGTAATTTGTTCACCCAGAAATTTGTAGATCCAATAGATCATGATGTACTCGTTCCTTCTGTGCAAACGTTTTCAAAAACGAATTAAAATCGAAGAAAATACCATATGGTATGCAGTTGGTATCGAGAGGCAAGATTTTTTATTTTCTCAAAAAATATTGAAAATGGATCTCATTTTGTAGAGCACAACCAACTCATTCAATCTGTGCAAAAAAAAATCCGAGTTGAAATGAAGAAGATATGAGCCGATTAAGAAAGCTAGCGAAAATAAAAATGGTCTTTAATTCTCCATCATTAGATCTGGATTTTCTAAATGAAGGGTCCAGATTTAGTTATTGATGGGTGCATAACCATGGGGAGAAAATCTACTGTATTGCGTGACAGTGACCCTCCGATTTGGAGAGAAAATAACTCTCCGCGTTGCTAGCCTTCCCTTTTTCAATCGCAGCTCTAGACATTTTTTTCGTTTTCATTGTTTACTAGCACAGGACCCGGTCCGTTGGCCGGGAGAATTTTGTCAAAAAATATGGTATATAATAATGGATATAATAGATGATTTAAAATACATGAAATGATTGTTTGTACGTTCGTTATGCACATTATATTTTTGAAAGTGATCCAACTATGTATAATGTGTTTAGTCCTCTATGAAAAGAGAAAAAAGTATGGTATAAGCATTACATGTAATTACTTAATGAAAAAAGAAATAAATAAACTAATTGTCATTCGTTTTTAATTAGATCATATAGTTGAATATTATAATTGCTTCTCATAATACATACATAATCAATATTTAGGATGAAAGAAAATATATCTCATAGAGTTTAGTATGTCCTTCAAGTAATTTTCCAATAGAGAGCATTCTTTTTTACCACACAGTTGGTAATAAATCTGAAATTGGTTGATTAGAAATATATAAAACATGATCTTAAGTTTTCGCTAATAGTTAGTTGAACAATGTATTGTGTACGGACTTCCTAAATTACTCTCATAACACAAACATGTCTAGCAACAATGTAATAATTTTCATTGTAGCAAATATTTTTTTCATGAAGTAATTCAATAAATAAAAAACCTATGAAAATCATATTATATTAAATATATGTTACTCATTAAGTTGATGAATGATTGAGGATAAGAGTAGCATACACTTATTTTAAAAAGATATAAGTTGCAAAGTGTCATTTGGGTTGAATGAGATCGCATATTCTCGTTATCGCTAACTCACTTATGCTTTTTTGCAATAGATTGTTCAAAATGTGCCTTAAAATTTTTATTTCCACCAGTGTAAAAGAATTATTTGAACCAAATTATTGAAAAATATTATAAAAAAGTAGGTAGTAGAGTATTTTATACCAAAGTCATAATTTAACCGAGGTTCAACCGTTTTATATTGCTAAATATCACCTACCAATTTAGCCTATGGTGTGAAGTTTTATGGTCGAACCACCGGTAGGTACGATATAGAAAAATCACTAAAATGTTGACATTATCAAATACCCATTAAATCTCATAAAATAAAATAATCATATTAAGAAAAAAAATCATCCAAATGATAATATTGATTTAGGATTTATTGAAATGGGAAAAATCTTTCAAATATAATGTCATCCCCTAAAATAAATCAAAACTCAACAGAAGAGGACTAACAATACCCTCTGAGCAAAAGAGAAAGACAATTATTTCACACTACATCATTTTCCCCCTCTTTTAAATGTGTTCTCTTACTCTATTTTTGCCTTCTCTTTCTTTTTTCATTTGTTCTTTCATCTCTCTCTCAGTTTTGTATCTCATTACTCTACCCCTTCCCTTACTCTTTCTTCCCACCGAATAGAATCGAGAGAAATCGAGAAACATCCCAATTACTTCTCGAATTTTGAGTTCGCAATATTTATTCTCCATTCACAGTCTATAGTGTGAATCAGAGCACATGAAACCAGGCGAACATTTGAGCGTTTATTCCTCGGCAGAGCAAAGTAGTTTGATAGTTTGTGAATAAACTAATTACTAAAAGTGATAAAAACAATAATCGTTAAACCAATTGAGTGAGTGTATAGTTAGTTCATTGCTTAAACCATTTTATTTATCAAAAGAATCAAAATGCATAATAAGGTTCATCTTCACTTATTTACGTGTATTTGTCGTACAAACTTATTACACATAAAAAATGATTTTGAACCAGCATATCGAACTAAATCTCATCTTATGATTATTGGATCCAATCATGTTAGATTAGAAAGAGGTCTAAAACTATTGGTCAACTCAATGTTGTCAAAACCGAGCCGGAGCATGAACCGTTAATGTGAATGGCTCGCACTTTAGTGGTTCAACCGGTATTAGACCGATAAAAACCATTAGAGAACCGGTACCTTATAAATGATAATATCAAAAGTATAAGACACATAAAGTAGTAATTCACAATTTTAATGACTAAAAGCAAATTTACTTTTTAGGTACCAATTAGTAATTTTACATTATATATATAATTAACACTAAAAACCCTAACCCATCTCTAGCGCCGCCCCAACTAATCTTCTTCTTACATCTTTCTTCGGTATTATCGCTCCTCCGCCGCTCCCAACTCCCTCTCCTCCATCAGTCACTCTTCTACCAACTGTACCCACCGTCGTCCCTCCTCCGCCACCTCAGGTCACCATCTACCTCTTGCCAAAATCCCCTTTAGTCCCCGCAAAATCCACAAGATCTCCCCGGAGGAAGCCACGCCAATGGCGACGATGGCGAGCGGGGCGGGGAGCTGCTACGACCTACGGGGACTGGGGATGGCGACGATGGCGGGCGGGGTGAGGAGCTACTAAGGACGGTTGATGACGACTGGAAGCGATGGCGATGGCGATGACGCCACCGATGGGAGGGCCGACTAGAAGCGGTGCAGTCGGGAGCGCCAACTGGAAAGCGATGACGATGTCGCCGTTGTTCTCTCTGTTGGCCAAGGAGACGGAAGGAGATGAATTAAATTAGGTCGCTAGGGTTTTCTTTGCAGCCCAGCCCAACAAATTACGTTTTTTTTTTATTAAATCATAACGGCCGGAAGTGGTGAAAACCGAGCGACCGGCTCGACCGGTTCAACTGGTTAACCGTTCCGGCCGGCATCCAGCCGCTTCAAAAGGCCGTTTCGGCTAAATGGCTCATCCGAGCCAGTTTTGCGGTCGAGTGACGGTTTTACTAGTCCGACCGACCGGCTCGGTTCGGCTTTAATAACAGTGGGTCAACTGTTTGAAAATTAATAATAATATAAGATTTATATATTTCTTCCAAATGTTCAATACTCAAATTCAATATGCAATATTCGAAACAAAAGATATATTTTCAACCCCTTCCACAAACTTTTTAGACCAAAAACACTCCCCCCTCCCCAAACACATACACATTTACAAAGAGATACTAAATCTCAATCTCTTCTTCACTTTACTTGCTTCTAAAGTTATTGTTGAAGTTATTTTTTATTACTGCAGGCTGTAAATTAGACTTTTCAGCTCTGAAGTTAATCAAGAATGAGTTTATAAATGAGTGTTTAGTTGTATAAATTGGAAAAGGTTTGAGTCTCAAAATAAATAATGAATGTATTTTATAAACCTTTTAGAATATGAGCCATCACATGTTGATATAAAAAACTACTCATTAATTGAAATTTCAAATGTTATTTTTATAATATTTTATTTTATTTCTATCAAATGACGCATTTCTCCTTAAAACATGAGTTCACCAATATAGACTGTGTGGTGCTCAGACTTGTGCGTGAGCCCTTGAAGTTTAACGTTTAGCAGTTAACCAGGCTAAAAGTTTAGAGAACCATCCACCTGTCGTTTGTACAAAATATTATTGTTTCGTAGTAGTTTTAAAAATTTATATTAATTTTAAGAATTCTACATGGTTTTTGCATATTCAATGTTGCAATTCGATATGCATTATTTCAAGCAATAAAATTTGGATTGAAATTTTAAGATTATCCAAAATTGTATAGGTTATAATAAATTATAATTCACGTATTAAACTTTGCTTTTCAGAAGATTTAATAGGCTAGCTAACCGTGATGGAAAAGTCATATGCTTTTCAAATCTTCACTTAGTGTATGTTTACAATTCAAGTAGATAAAATAAATTGGTTTAGTGTAATTGGTTTTGATTATTGTTTTTGTTTGAAAAGACCATGGTTCAAATCTTGATATTGATACTTGTTGGGGGTGTTACTAAGATACTCCGCGCACAGACTAAGTAGTAGGGAGCACAATCGGCGATGCCCAACGCTCGATACCCGCTACAGGTATATAAGGGCTTGAAGCCCTCCAAAGGAAGGGGACTTCTCCTCTCTCCTGATTTTCAACTTTCCACTATCTCTCTACACTTTATCTCTCAACACTATTCTCTCAAATTATGCTAAACCAAAGCTAACTTGATCGTCGGAGCTTAATCCGGGGGGCGTCCCCGGCTCTTTCACAGGTTTCTTCCCTCCCGAAGAGATCAGACGAACGGATTGTGAGTCAACCCCACACCAACAAATATCATTGTTCATACCTCGAGCTAGACGGTACAAACAATTGGTGCCCACCGTGGGGCAAGACTAGAAGATCCCGCTGTTTGATTTTGGAAGGGGGAAGAAATTTGGGAAAAGAATTCACACAAAAAAAGGGAGGAAAGGGCAAGAGCCAACGAAAGAAGCAGATGGGGAACTTGGTCCCTAACAACTCTGCCTCTGTGATTTTTGGGTCTGCTTAAGAAGCGAAGCAAACAAAAAGAAAGCTCCCAGGAAAGAACCCGCCGGGAAACAGAGAAACGGTGGGAGGAAGATCGGCTCTCATCCACTACTACGAGCAGCGGCGGCAAGTAACTCAGGCGACGAACAGGAAGCTCGAGATCTGAGAATATAATATAAAAAAGAGACATTCTCTTCCCCTACACATGGTGGCCGACGACAATAGCTGTGAAGTCCCTCCCCACTTCGAGCCCAGAATCTACAAGTACACATCACATGATCTTCATCTGAAAAAAAAAGTCCAACAACAATTGAAAAACAAGAAGAAGAGGAGGAAAAGAAAGAAAAAAAACGACCGTCGGAGACATGTTCAGGGTCGGAGTTCCCGTCAATCACCACGTCTCAAGAATCAAACTGCTTTGCTACAGTCGATGACCTGCAGTCGAGAAAGAGTGAAGAGAAAGGGCAAGTTTCTCCCTCTGTCAGAAAGAGAAGGCGCTTTTACCGAGGCATAATGGTGCAAGTGTATGCCAGGCTGTAAAGTGCCCTCAAATTTCTCCGCTTCTACCCATCTCTCATCATCCGCCAAAGTGAAGGATCGCTGCTTCTACCCAACCCTCAAAGACCCGATCCTAATCAACCACACAACGGAAGCTCCGCCGAACGGCGGCGAGATGGCTAACCAAAATCCAAAGGACGAAGCAGAGAAGCAAGCTGCCCCACAGAACTAATCAATGGAGCCGCCATCCGATCGGGCGGCAGATTGAGAGACAAAAACATGTTTGTTCCGACGGCGAAAGACCCTTGCTTCTGATCCTCTGTTTGTCGCCACGCCAAGCCATATCTACTTCAGTCACAGCTCTCTCCGCCAGGAGAGATGGTTAAAAAAAGGGAGGAAGAAGAAGAAGAAACAAACAAAAAAAGAAAAAAAGGGGAGAAAGAGCCGTCTGGCACCCAAGCCTACTCGCGGTCGCGGCCCACTCCGCCTTTATCTCCGCCAGCTCCTTCAAGACCATGTCGTCCGCCCATCAATGCAGCACCACAGATCCAGCCCACGCTCTTCCCACTCGCTGACCGCCCCAAACGCGCAACCGGTTCGCCTCCATCCAGTCCGCTCAAACTCGAGGCCCGCCGCTCCATGGGCTCTGTTCGCCAATACAGGCCCGAAACATTCAGCATCAACTAGACCCAATCCGCCTCAAGACATAGCATTCAATTAAAAAAAAAACTGCTCCCGCCGCGATTTGAACCCGCACAACTGCATCGCCCTTGAACTACGCTGACCAGTACGCGACAACGAAAACTTGCTGGATCAAATCGCGGCATCCTATTTATAGAGAAAGCACCCCGCTCCAGACTAGCAAGCACGACTTCTTTCAGCCCGCTCCCGCGTCACTGGTGGGCTTCGCCCCACTCCAGCCCGCGCCCCGTCTTAAAAGTACAAGCAGATACGACTTGCGTCCTTAGGCCCAGCTTGGCAGCCCGCACCATCAACTTCTTACTCCCACATCAAAGCCTACTCCGACTCGCGGGCCTGACTCGCACTCGTCAGCCCAAATCTTCCATCTGATCCGCCTAACAAGCCCGCACCATGACAAAGCGGCCCATGTCGTTCGTCCGCGCCAATCCGGCCCACCAGTACTACTGCACTTGAGCCCGCTTCGGCGCTCCAGTCCAACCAAGCCCACAGGCACTAAGCTCGCTAAAATAAAAAATATATCGTCGCCGCGAGGGCTTGAACTCGCGCCAATCTTGTGAAAGACAAGAAAGGCAACTAGTAGACTACAAACCTTAAATGTGATCAATAGGTGCAGCGCGCTATTTTAAAGCTTCGCTTCCCCGACTCGCGGCGCACTCACGGAAGATGAACCCACTACTCGCGGGCCCGAGTCATACTCATCCGCGTGACTCTACCGCCCAAGCTTGCGGCCCGCCGCCTCAACACTCGCAGCTCGCACTGCAGGCGGCCCAACTCGCGGCCCGCATTCAACAGTCACGGAACTCTTCAAAAATATTATCGCTGCCACCAGGAATTGAACCCTGGTCACTCCTCCGCCAAACAAGCAACATTACCAGTAGCTACATACGCGCCTTATGATCCTTAGAGGCAGCACTCTTATTTTAACAACTCTTCGCGCCGCTTCGCCAACATAAAGCTAAGTACTCCATCCCTCTATCATTATTAAATTTTTAAATATTTTACTTTCCTGAGCGTTAATGGCGCTAATGGGGGGTAAGACGTACCCAACAACGTGGGAGATGAGAAACTCACCAAGCTCTCGACGCCTTGAAGACTCCAAACTGATGGTTAAAAACCCCGACGAGGAGAGGGCACATTGCCTCAGTGAATCTACAAATAAGTCTCAACGAAGCACACAAATAAGACTTCAATAAGAGCATCGAAGATCTACAAATAAGTCTCAACGAAGCACACAAATAAGACTTCAATAAGAGCATCGAAGATCTACAAATAAGTCTCAACGAAGCACACAAGTAAGACTTCAATAAGAGCATCGAAGAAGCTACAAATAAGTTTCAATGAAGCACACAAATAAGACTTCAATAAGAGCATCGAAGATCTACAAATAAGTCTCAACGAAGCACACAAATAAGACTTCAATAAGAGCATCAAAGATCTACAAATAAGTCTCAACGAAGCACACAAGTAAGACTTCAATAAGAGAATCGAAGAAGCTACAAATAAGTCTCAACGAAGCACACAAATAAGACTTCAATAAGAGCATCGAAGATCTACAAATAAGTCTCAACGAAGCACACAAATAGGACTTCAATAAGAGCATCGAAGAACTACAAATAAGTCTCAACGAAGCACACAAGTAAGACTTCAATAAGAGCATCGAAGAAGCTACAAATAAGTCTCAACGAAGCACACAAATAAGACTTCAATAAGAGCATCGAAGATCTACAAATAAGTCTCAACGAAGCACACAAAGTCTAAGAGCATCGGTGAATATACAATATGAGAGTGTTCAACTACCTCTATCTCCAATAAAAGGCACTAAACATGCGCGGTAAGCCCGTAACGTAATCGTGCTGCTGTCACAAGCGCACCATTGAAAGAGTACACACTTGTGTGTGTGTGTGTGAAGAACTCCAATAGAAGAGCGCTCAACGGCTTAATGAAACACACCAACTGGGGGGCATGACGCAGGAAGCTAGCACCGCGTCAGCCAAACGCGCCACCAGCTGGGGGGCAACTGGGGGTACATAGGGCTCCATCCAAAATTACCGACGAAGATTTAAAAAAAACAAATAAACAATAAGCTAGTGATGAGTTAAAACTCACCACCAGCTTGGGGGGCAATTGTTGGGGGTGTTACTAAGATACTCCGCGCACAAACTAAGTAGTAGGGCGCACAATCAGCGATGCCCAACGCTCGATACCCGCTACAGGTATATAAGAGCTTGAAGCCCTCCAAAGGAAAGGGACTTCTCCTCTCTCCTGATTTTCCACTTTCCACTATCTCTCTACACTTTATCTCGCAACACTATTCTCTCAACTTATGCTAAACCGAAGCTAACTTGATCGTCGGAGCTTAATTCGGGGGGCGTCCCCGTCTCTTTCATAGGTTTCTTCCCTCCCGACGAGATCAGACGAACAGATCGTGAGTCAACCCCACACCAACAAATATCATTGTTCATACCTCGAGCTAGACGGTACAAACAATACTTTTTTGTATGAAGTAGATAAATAATTGTGATGACAAACTTACTCTTCCTACTTTCACTCTTAATTCACGAAATTTCAAATGATAAATCTTAAAAAATTAAATGTATCTTATAGAAAGAGCTTCTTCAAACAAGTAGGAAATGTATTTTACCTGAAATTATTATATCTTATAGAAAGTGATTAATTGTGAAATCAGAACTGAAATAATATTGATTTAAATATTAAATTGTATCGTACGTATGGTTCAGTTTAGACAAAATACATATGGTGTAGCCAAAACATGGACCTTTGTGACAAATATAGTAATTATTTGTGACAATTTACACATAATATAAAGATAAATTGGGTGCAATGACGAAAAATAGCTTCCTAGGATCACTCTCATACCAAGAAATTTGAAATGAGACTCTCATTTTTCATTTTTATCATTATATTATGTGTATATTTGTCACAAAAAAATGATATACTTGTCACAAAGGTCCATGTATTGGTTACACTTCTGTATTTTGTCTAAACTAAACTACACATACAATTTAATATTAATGTTTGAATGAATGTTACTTGAGTTCCAATTTCAGAAATAATCTCTTTCCATAACATATAAATAACTTAAGATAAAATATAAATATAGAAGCATCATCACCAAACATATTTCTAGATTTTAATAAAAAAATAACAATAAGACAATGTAGCGTAGTTGGTTACAATGTTATTTCTTAATTGGATTGACCAAAGTTCGAACTCCAATGATAACATTTTTAATATATAAAAAAGAACTGGGTGGAATGACAAAAATGACCTTCCTAGAATCACTCTTAGCACACATCTATTTGAAATGTAAAATCCTTTCTTCTTCAGGTTGTCAACAGTGAGACTTCGTTTGTGGAAGACCGGCCATAAAAAGATGCAAATCTTGCTCGGCACGATGCTTTGCCATACCACCTTCGAGGAAAAATCTGCAATTCCTCCAAAACGTGCAACGGCGAGATGATCAAATGCCGAGTGGACACCGAAACCAGCAGTGGGAGACGGGAGCCATCTTGATCTTTCAGGCCCTGCAAAAAAGTTCTGAAAAGGAATAGAATGAAGTAAATCAAGTAATCTCCCACCCTCTCTTTCAGCCCCACCCCGAAGTGAATAGATCAATGGTATGTCCCATTGATAATTTCCCTCAGAAGAAGAAAGGTAATCAGAGATTCAGTAGCAGCCAGGACTCTCGGGAATTCATCGGCCAATCAGACGCCCTCGATCCCGGTATCAAACCAGAACGAAGTCCAGTGACCTTGTCCATGTTCAATACACACAAGTTTCCAGAAACCAGACTGTAATTTCATAATCTTGCGCCAAAGACTGCCTCCATCACTGCCCGACATGATACCCAAGAGCCACTCCGAGTAAATGTTAGGAAACTTGGCGTCAATGATTTCCCTCCACCAAGTTCCCCTTTCTGTCGCGAATCTCCGTTGCCATTTATACAGGAAAGCTTGATTATGTAGCTCAAGATCACGGATACCCAATCCACCCATATTCTTGGCAGTTTTGCAAAGATCCCATGACACGAGATGAAGCTTCTCGTTTTCCTGAGTGCCTGACCAAAGAAAGTCCCTTTGAATCTTCTCCAAAGATTTGATGACATTCTTAGGGATTAAAAATAGCAAACTTATATAACTGCTTTGACTTGCTAGCACCGCGTTTATAAGCACCACTCTCCCTCCTATCGATAAACAATTCCCTTTCCAGCCTTCCAATCTTGACTGTGTCTTAGTCACAACGTTATTCCAGTGCGTAGCAGACAGCGATTGGCACCCGAGAGGTAAACCGAGATATGTTGTTGGCAAAAAAGCCCAGTCACAGCCAAAAATTTCAACTATCCTCTCAATATTTGCTACCTCGCCAAATTGGAAAATTTTCGATTTCTCGAGGTTTATTTGCAAGCCAGTAATCGCCTGAAAACAAATCAAAGCAGCCAGCATATTGCGTACCTCAGACTCATTTGCTTCACAAAAAAGGATGGCATCATCTGCATAAAGTAGATGGGTAACCTCTCCGATGTGCCTTTCTTCATTAATGCAGAAACCCGTAATGAGCCCCTCATTCTTTATTTCACAAAGAATAAATGAAAGTATGTCCATACCAATGTTGAATAGGAAGGGCAAAAGAGGGTCGCTTTGTTTGACACCTCGGCTCATACCAAAGAAACCAGTAGATTCTCCGTTAACAAGAATGGAGAGTCTGGAAGAGGAAACCAGCCCTTTAATCCATTTCTGAAACCTCGGATGCAAACCCAAGTGATATAGTGAGTTTAAAATGCTCTCCCAGCTGATGGAGTCAAAGGCCTTTTCGATGTCCAATTTAATCACAACACCCGATTTTCCATTTCTTCTTCGGCTATCAATTACTTCATTGGCAATCAAGCAAGATTCATGAATCACTCTACCCCTTTTCCCTGCAAACGGTTGTCCGAGATTAGGGTGTTCATATGGGTGAAAGGCGATTGAACAGAACCTTTGCAATAATCTTGTTTAAGCTTCCCAATAGGTTGATCGGACGAAAATCAGAAACATGTTCGAAGGGATCTCTTTTGGGTAGCAGACAGATGAAGGCATGAGCTATCGACTGAGGAAGAGTGCCAGCAAGGAAAAAAATCATCAAACGCCTTCAATAAATCAGTTTTTATAATAGGTTTAATACACTTGTATATCCAAAACTTTCACGGTTGTGCCAATAATATCCAAATTTCCGGAAATACCACTTATATCCATGTTTTAAAGTTGTTCTTTGCCAAATCTATCCATTTCCCAATATATTTTTGGTTAAATACACTTGTATATCCATAAACACCGTTAAAGAATGTGAAGGAATTGGATATAAGTGGTATTTCGAGAAATTTGGATATTATTGGCATAACCGTGAAAGTTTTGGATATACAAGTGTATTTAACCTTTATAATATCCCACGCTTTCTTATAAAACTCAATCGAATAACCATCCGGCCCTGGAGCTTTAATCCCATTACAGTGCTTGCCAAACTTTCAGCTCCGTGAAAGGCTTCAGAAGAGCTTCATTTTCTTCTAGGGAAAGCATACAGCCCCTGTACCTGGTCGGCAATGGCCTATCATCATCAGATTCCACGAACTTAGCAAAAAAGTTATTATGGAAGGCAATCTTAATCTCATTCCCATCTTCTGAGGCCCTTCCCTCGATCACCAATCTCTTGATTCTGTTTTTCCTTCTTTTAACCTTAGCCACTCTATGAAAGAAGCTGGTGTTCTTATCACCCACCTGAAGCCCCACTTCTCTAGACCGTTGCCTCCAGAAAATCTCCTCCATGATTAGAACCTTCTCAAGTTCACATTTAAGGATAGCTCTCTCAGAGGATAACAGCGGATTGATCTGATCTGTCTCTTCAACATCATCAATACTTTTAATTCTAAAAAGAAGATCTGCGATACGCTTCTCTACTTTTCCAAAATGGTCCCGATTCCATTGCTTGATCATTAGTTTGGTTTGCCTGCATTTTTGCCTAAATCTGAACAGGTAACTAGTCCCACTGACAGGGATGCACCACCACCCCACCAGGCTCTGCAAAAAGGAGTCTTCTTCAAACCACATATTTTCAAATCTCCAAGGGTGAATGAAACGCTCCATTGAACCCCACCGAAGACAAATCGGGTTATGGTCTGACTCCACTCGATCAAGAGCAATCAGAGCCTCTGGGGATAACAAGTCTTCAAAACTCGAATTAATAAATGCTCTATCAATGCGAGACGACAATTTCTCCACACCTCCTCTATTCCAAGTGTACCTGGCCCCTTGCAGCGAGAGGTCCACAAGATTGCATCTGTTAATCAAACTGTTAAATTCATACATGATCTCTGGATCTCTAGGGAAACCAATGAATTCCTCCTCTGATCTGACAAGATTAAAATCGTCAATAATGCACAACGCAGCCAGATATTCTCTACACACTAACTCGATTTCCTTAAGAAATTCCATTTTGTCATTCTTATCCTGTGGTCCATATACAACTAGGAAGGAGATAATATCTTCGGATTAAATCAGCTTCAGACAAACTGCCAAAGAGAATCTGCATTCCCAAACCGTCAGAGCCATGTAGATAGAAGGATCCCAAAAAATGACAATGCCACCGCTAGCATCGACCGAGTCTTTAGCAACCCAATCACTGGAATTGCAACCGCTAATGGACGAAATCAGATTTCTGTCGCAGGACTTCCATTTAGTTTCGGTGAGACCCACAATAGAAGGTTTCCATCTCTTCAGAAGCCTCTTAATTTTTGCCCTCTTATTTGGGTTTTCCAACCCACGCACGTTCCACGCAATGAAAGAATGAGTCATGTCGACACAAAGCCACAGACAGCAAGAAGAATGGCAAACCTAGGTCGAGTGAGCTGAACGATTCCGAGCTTTGGATGTTGGAGGAGGATAATCAAGTCCCAGTCGACGCATTTCCATTTCCAACTTGGATCTCGATTCCCTCTTTCTCTTGCGCTGAGTGTCTATCGCGATGATAGCGACCTTCTGCTTAGCATTGTCAGTAGAGACTGAGTCTGAGAGCTTAAGAATATCACAGATCTTTAGACTCTGCGTAATCAAGTTGACGAGGTCCTGCCTGCTACGCCACGCCTCAAAATAATCGGAGCCGAGAGGGCTAAACGAAACGATGGCTAATTGGTCCGACTCAGGGGACTCAGGAGAATCAGTGTTGGAGCAGCCGGAGACGACATCAGGCGAAGGAGGGCTAGAGAGGTCAGATTGGGAGTTTGGAGATGACAGAGAGGTAGGGGCAAAGTGATCAACAGAAGGAGATGGAAGGGGGACAAGGGGGAGGGACGGGGTAGGAAGGAAAGGGGGAAAATGGGTAGCAAATGGTGATGGCAGGGGGGATACTTAGCGATAAGATGGAAAGGGTTGAATCAAAGACAAGTGTTGGGGAATAAGCAGAGGCATTGAGAATGACAAGGCTGGGTTTTGGTTTTGGGGGTGGACCAGGAGGAGAGGAGGAAAACAAAAGATCTTGGGCCGAACTAAGGAGAGGAGAGGAGGTTAATGGGTTAAAGGAAATGGGCTCACAGAGGGAAGAACAAGGAGAAAAGGGCTCCCTGAGGGAAGAACAAGGAATAGTGGGTTTGGGTAACGAGCCCGATTTGCGGACCCAAAATTTCTTAATCCCCACACTAATGGCCCAACCTGCATGGAGATCGGAGACCTGCAGCGCATGCCTGCGGAGTACCAGGTCAGAGGAAACCGAGGCGACGCGTGAGGACCTCGAGACCGGGACGCCACCCAACGCTCTCGGGCTCTGTGATTTCTCAGAGTTAGGCGGATCCCCTGCAGATCTCGAATAAAAAATCTTGTCCAAAAGACGGTGACGGTTCAAGTCCGCCACCGGACATTCAACTTCCGGCACCGGCAGAATTTTGACGACGAACACGGTTGTCCCAAATCTTATCAGAAGTGATTCCGGAAGCTCTTTTCTTGGTCGAACTTTGATGCGAACACACGGATCCGACCAAGAACTCTAATCAACATCGACGAATTCCCCACATATCTGTCTGATGTTTTTTACAACGTTCAATGATCGAAGAAAGGGGGGAATTCTGGATCTAATCCTCCACGAAAAGTAAGAAATTCCGAATATTTTGACCAATTCAAGGTGAAAAAGGGAGTTGCTCTCTCAGCAAAACTGGGATACAGTTGAGCCTGAAGACCATGAGCCATTGCAACCCACCAGGAGAAGCGAAGCTACGCCCGTCCACTTCTTTCCAAAACCACAATAAGACGTTCCATTCTCGAAATTTTGCGTGACCATCTTCTTGTACCCTAATGGCTTCCGAGAGAGAAGAGCAGATTAGATACCAGAAGTCCCCAACCTTGTTGGAAAAGACTGAACTCTCCGATAAACCCCATCGTTTTCTAGCCCATGTCACAAAATCTCCGGTCAGAGAAGACGGAAGTCCCTGGTTCCTACTATTAAAGAAACTGATCGTTAAGCAACGATCCAGGAAATGCAGCCTATCATTGACACCAATTTCTTCCACCTCCAAGAATGCCTGAGATTTGTGGGATTTGATGGAGCTTTTCCCTGACTCCATAGGGAACCCCAGCTTAACAACATCAACAAAAGATTTCTCCATATGTAACTAGGTGATCAGCGGGTGATGGGAAGACCAGGGCGAATTGTCAATGATTTGGATGGAGAAGACGACAGTTGGGTGATTGTGAAAAGGAAGAGAGTCCTCCACCACCTAGGGGTGGGCAAATGGTTCGGTAAACCCGAACCGAAATCGAATTAATGCTATTCGGTTCGGAATTCGGAAGGAAAATATGGATAGTTCGGAAATCAGAGCTCTTTCAAACGAACTGAATTTCCGACCGAAAAACCGAAACACTATTATTGCAAGCTCCAAATGATGGATTTTTATGTTTGTAGTTGTTTTTAGACTTAAATATTTGAAATGTTTTAAGACTTATGTGTTGAAAAGTTTGATTTTATCATTGATGATGCATATAATTGATATTTATTGTTTATATTAGGGGTGAAAAATAATTTAAAAGTGAGAAAATACAAGTAGCTTCACAAATTAGGTTTTGTGTGAAAAACTGAACCGAACCGAATTATAATTCAGTTTAAACCGACCAAACCGAATTATAATTCGGTTCGATTTCGGTTTGAGATTTGGGAGAATTTGGGAACCCGGTATTCATAATTTTGATTCGGTCGAAACCGAACCGACCGAATGCCCACCCCTACCACCACCTGATGCAGCGAAATCCACAGCGTTTCCCTCCCCTGTACCTTCCTGTGAGGAAGCCATGCCTGCAGAAATTATCAAAGGTGGTGAATCAACAGATGTTGCCGCGGCAGAGACCTGTGCAGGGATTTGTCCCGTCGGGGAGGCAGTTGTGGTTCGAGTGGATAACCGGAGGGCTGGTACTATTGCTACTACTGCTATGGTAGGAGCATCAAGAGCGTCGAGAACGATGAAGCGACCGAGACTGTTTTTGCCTGGGCAGAGTATATTGGACAGGGGCCCAGCATCATTGAACCAGACACTGAGAGCATCACTCGTGGAGAGGAAAATCAAGAAGGCTGGCAGGTTGACCAAGTTGTTGGCATTGTTAGGGTTGGATCAATTTGTGATGATCTTCCGCAGCAGTAGCGTTGGTAAGTTTCAGCTGGTTAACCTGACGATGGAGAAGCTGAAAGATATGGGTGCTGATGTTGTTGGTCCAAGGAGGAAGTTGATGCATGCTATTGACTGCATTTGCCAGTCATCGTGCTAAGACTTTCATGGTTGTTGCTACAGTTCTCTGACGCATATGGAAATCCTGAAATTGGGTTGTCTTTGAAGGCAAACAGTTTGGTGTCCAAACTTTAATGCGACAGTTTCATCAGCAATATCAGGAGTGGGTCAGTATCCCTGTTAATCGGGTGAACCGTTCCTTAAGTATTGTGGCGGGTCGCCTAGGTGAGGAGGGCCCCTCGTCTATTGTTTGCACGTGGGATGGGGCAACAAGGGCTGGGTCGCACTCGGCTGGTGGTTTAGTTGTTAAGGATTGTGGGGAGGGTCATGGTGGCCAAAGGAAGTTTCCGGATATTGATGATCCGATGGTAATTGAGCTTCTTGTTCTCCGGGAAGCTATCACTTGGTGTCTGGAGCTGGGTTTCACGGGGGTGCGGTTTGAGGGGGACGCCAAGGTTGTTATTGACAAGCTTAATCAGGCCGACACTCGGGATAGCAGATTGGGGAGCATCCTGGAAGAAGTTGTGAGGCTATTTGCTAGTCAGAAAATATTCTGTGTACGGTTTGTAGGTCGGAGTAGTAATAGGGTAACCCACTTGGTGGCTCATAAGGCCCTTTCTTTGTACCCGACTACATGTCGTTCTTTTGATTTTAGGAGCTGGTTGAATTCCAGAATGTAATGATCTATCTTTTTAATCATATGATCTATCTTTTGTCATACTGTTTCGGTTCCAAGTGAGAAAAGTCTTTACTTTTTAGCCTAAACAAACAAATAGATTGTTGTAACAAACGTCTCGATTATATTGCTTGCTTCTAAAAAGACCCATCTAACGTCTCGATGTAATAACGGTAGAATACTGGAAATACACACATTAGAGCCATTCTTTCGGGTTGATACAAGCATCCAGCAGTTTCCACTCTTCACTTCCTTCCTCTGGTTTCTGTTATACAGCCGAAGATAACTTGTTAGGTCAGCTCGACGTGTCATTAGACCTGGAAACACAAGCAATAGCTTGAGCAGATTGTCACTGGAAAAACTTACGTGGTCATACTCCCACCGAGCTGATAGCGGCAACGAGACCAGAATACTTTCTATTCGACCTCCAGTCTTCAGCCCGAAAGTTGTGCCCCTATCATACACCTTCAATTTGCCATGTAAAAACTCGTGAAGTTAGGAAATTTTGCAGACAGCGTTGCAGTAATTGTACAAAGGGGTGACAGTTTTCATTTACCAAGTTGAATTCTACATAGCGGCCGCGGCGCAACTGTTGCCATGCTTTCTGCTGGTCATTAAATGGCATATCCTTCCTTCTCTCCACGATTGGAACATACGCAGGAATCACGGAATTCGCACACTCTAAATACAACAGAAGACAGAATTAAGTAATTGAGAACTGCTCAATAACACAACCGGTAGCTACTCTTGATTCAGCCGAGAGAGGATACACTACCAGTAGCAAAAGCAAGAAGCATCTCTTGATCATAGTCATTAAGGTCATCAAAGAATATTCCCCCAAGTCCTCGCCTCTCACCTCGATGCTGTATACAGCAACGATCAACACATTATAATTAAATCGTATGTTCTACTTGTCACTTACTGTAACCTGCGTATGTTCTACTTGTACATCAAACTCTCATTTACTATGACAAGAGGAATTCATCTATATGATCACATTATGTCCTAAATGGCTTTAAGACCATATGCAATGCAACGCTGAAGGAATACATTACGATGACTAACAATGCAATAGCTTTATAGAAGCACCTACTCAAGTCCCTAATATTCTGTCATGTAGCAGGACACATATCAGGTCCCAAAACTGTCAGCCATACAAACAGCAGACTACATAAAGAACTACTGCATTTTTGCTCTTCATGAATGACTACTAGTACTACTGCTATCATTTACTTAAGAGATGGATTTTGTGATATGATAACAAGGAAATAAGAACCACACTTGAGATATTACACTGATAGTGATAAATCAAACCACCACAACAGATGTAAAAGAAATGTTTTGCCCGATACAAACCTTGATGTAGAAATAATCATCACACCATTGCTTGAAGCGTGGATAAAATGTGAGATCAAACTTGTCACATGCCTTCTTTTGAACCTGAAAAGTAATGAGTAACAATTGGAAAAAAAAAGTTAGTAGAGACCAAATCAATTTTTTCCCGATGAATAGCAATCTTTATTAAGCTCTCTAGCTAAACTGTTGGCATCGTCAATACCGCAAAGATCCTAATCCTATCAATCGCTACTCCTTTACACAGAAAATACTAAATAAGTATTACAGAGATAACTGCAGATCACTAGCAAGGGAAGACTAAATAAATACACATCCTCAAATCCAAATTCTTAACTTGTGTAACAACAGGAATATGATAAGTATATCCCAATATACAGAGCATTTGTCATACATAAGAACATAGAATGAGCAAAACCAATGGAAGATATACCGAATGAAAATGCTTAACATCATCCTCGAAGATATAAGCTGGGGTTAAGTCAGTCCCACCACCGAACCACCATTGCCGAGGGGCTCCAGGAGCATCTGTATGCAGTACAACGTTTAGTCGTGAAAGGGTTAGGGGCAGTGGCTCACCATTGCACGGGACATTCAATATGGAAGATTGATTAAATCTAAGCAGTTGACCAACTACCCAGTTACTATAAAAAATTCCCAGCAAGAAAAAAAAAATGGCAGCAGGTTTCAAAACTTGGTGCTCAAGTTTGGTCAGCCGCTGCAATCGACATAAAGAAAGGTCTACACACTGAAGTACCCTGCCCACTTCAAGCACATCGTCTATCATTCACATGTCCAACTAGTTAAGAAGTCTGAAAAGCTCGTGAAGTTCATTATTAACAACAGATTGATATGGTGAATGAAATCAAGTGGATTAAGAGGGAAATCACCAAGCATATTAGAGATGAATATTTAAACAAAATGTTTATCTTGCCTAGCAAACCAGATTACTCAACTTTCCCCTCAAGATATAGCACCGTTGAGTTACTAAATTCAGGTGAGGGGATTTGATTTTCACTGAGTTGCATAAGAACAAGTCAGATAAGTGATTTGCAGAGAGAACTGACGGGATAGAATGCGGAAAGCTAACCTTTGGGAGCATCAGTCTCGAAGTATCTATAGTTAAAATGCACAGTGGGGGCAAAGGGATTCTTGGGATGCAAGACCTGATAACAAAGAAAAATCCACCCAATCCAATCAAAGAAGATAGAAAACGAAAACAGGAGTTGACTTAGCCATGCATGGCAGACAACACAAACGGATCATGGATTTTGATGAGTGCCCAGTAGAGATTAAGCACAAGGCAGAAAATGCTGAAACAGAACAAGTGAGCAGGAAATGGGCAATTACAGAGCTGATTCCGGCTGCGAAGAAAGGAATAGGGCCAGGTTTCTGATCGGGAGAAGCCGACCTGGCAGCTCTATATGCTTCAGGGGGCATAACGCCATAGACGACGGACACATTAACTCCGGCCTTCTCAAAAACGGCGCCGTTCTGCAAGACTCTACTAATGCCTCCGCCACCGCCCGGTCTGGACCAGACGTCTTCTTTAAACTTGCCGACTTTATCGACGGCTTCGAGGGCCTGGCAGACGCTGTCCTGAGCATCCCTGATCATCTTCTCAAACCGAACCCTCACCTCTCCACTCTCCGATTCTCTGAGAAATGTGTCGGGCCGCTCCGCCTCCATCGTCTCTTTCTCAATGGAAACCGCCGCCGGGGGTCGCATTGGGAGAGGGGAGCGGAGGGAAGAGAAATGCTGAGATAATCGACTGGTTTTGGGACTAGAAGGAAAGGAGAGCGAATTGGCTTTGCCGACAGAAAGGGAAGGAGCGTGAGTTGGAATGGATATAGAAGGAATGAGAGGAGCGAATGAGGAGGACGCGGATGTGGAGACGTTCGGAATCATCTCTCAGATTGTGGCGCAATGAGCAGCAGCAGTGATAGGAAAAATTCCCACCGATATACGAATTTCTCGGCAGCGGCCGACGGTCGGTGGTGGAAATGGGGGTGAAACGTCGGAGAACGACGACTAGGAGCGGTGATTTTGACTGCCGAGTCTGATCCCCCCGATTATCTCCTCTCTCGTTCAACGAGGATGAACCCTATCGGGAAACGACATAATAGAAAGTGTAAAGCACAGGTTTGCAATGCTGAAACGACACCGTTTCCTCCTTCTTAAAGCCTCGACCAATACGGTGGGCGGTAGCTGCTGCATCGCCGAAACCTGGATCCACTCAAACTCAAAGTCGACGAAACCTGAGAAAACAAAATTAGGGGCCGGAACTAGCAAAAAAGAACACAGTTTAGGAAAACTAGCAGCACCAATTTGCTGGAATAAGATGCGTTTAGTTGGTCTTGGGCTTAAGATAGGGTGCACCCATCAATAACTAAGTCTGAACCCTTCGTTTAGAAAATTTAGATCTAATTGTGCTCAAATTAGGGTGCACCCATCAATAACTAAATCTAAACCCTTCGTTTAGAAAATTTAGATATAAGAATGGAGAATTAAAGACCATTTTTATTTTTCATAACTTTCTTAATTGGCTCATATCTTTTTCGGTTTAACTTGGATTTTTTTTTTTGCACAGATGGAACGAGTTCGTTGTGCTCTACAAAATGAGATCCATTTTCAATATTTTTTGAGGAAAAAATTTCTTGCCTCTCGGTACCAACTGCATACCATATGGTATTTTTTCCGGTTTTAATTCGTTTTTGAAAGCGTTTGCACAGAAAGAACGAGCCATCATGATCTATTGGATCTACAAATTTTTGGGTGAACAAATTACAGGACCAAAAAATACCACACAATACCACCCTGGTACGGGGTGGTATCTTGTGGTACACAATGTTAAAAGTCGTAAATGGCAGTTAATATACCTCTACTATCATATATTCAACCATCCTACAGTCTTGGTTTGTTCATACCACCATGGTACGCTTCTCAAACCATAGGTATGCTCTTATTTCAATACTAGTCAATACCATAAGGTATAGACTGGTAAAAAATTGCTCAATTTTTTTTGTTCGAAAAATATATCAAAGTGGATATCATTTTGAAGAGCACAATTAATCTGATCTAACTGTGCAAAAAAATCGACTTAAAACGAGTGAGAAATCGTCCGTCAAAGATTAAGGAGGAGAAAATTAAAGGCTTTCCAGTATAGAGAGGGATGTTGATGTCATGTTGATGTGGATGTGTTACTCATAGTTACTCACCGTAAGATTACTAACCTTATCCGTTCCCTTGCTCTCGGCTCCCACCTGCCCACAATAATCATGCTTAGGATTGTAACTTTTGTCCCTAATATTTGAGTGTTGGTTATAATAAAAAAATTCATGGGAGGAAGGTTTTGCTTGTGGGAAGAAAGAAAACAACCCACCAGATAATAATTTACGAAATTTTTCTCATTCAATGTGAATGTCTGCATCTATGAAGAGTCGAAATTCTCGATTTATATTATAGATTGATATTTGCATATATATATATATATATATTTACTTTTATTGTACGTTGAGCAAATTAAAAAATACGACATAGATTGTGTAAGCAAATAATACTTTGAAGGCTTACTTGTTTTGGAAGAGGAAGAATCTAAGCAAGAGGAGGGTGTCACATGAAAGTACAGGTTTTTGTGAACAACTTAAAGGAATTGGATTATTGAAAACATTTCTCTAAGGCTTCGACCGAGTTGGATCAAGACTGCATAGAGCCATGAATTGGAGGACTGCGCCACAAGAAATCTGAATCCTTCTAGGATTAGGATTACTACTTCTTTTGGATTTGAGTGTTTTGTTTTCGTGTTCAATGGTGATTAGGATTTCCTTTTGGTTTGTAAACGTAGCTAGGTCTATTTTAACTCGTTTCCTTTGCATTGTAAGTTAGTTTTTTTAGATTGAATTAAAGTTTGAGTTTCGTTCATTGAGCCTTCGCTTTGTGAATTTGGTTGAACTGCTTGGAGGTTTTCGAAGGGTGATGTTCTAAAACACAACACCTAACAATGGCCAAGTGTAACCAATGAAAGGGACTGCAGTATAGTGGCACAAGTAATAAATATCGAATCCACGGGTCTCTAGAGTTATTATTACTCAGCTTCAGTTCATTATCTAGCAAACTAGATTAAGGATTGATTAACTAAACTATTCTACTAACTAAACTAAGGAAAACTACTAATTACAGTTTGGGAACTCACTTAGGTATGATTCCCCCTAGCTCCTCAATTAGGTCCAAGTTGTAATTCCTTTTGGTTGATTTACTGTTGATTAAACTGCGGAAGATCCGACAGTAGCTTGGAATCTCTTAAGCTGACCAAGCCCTCTCAGTCTAACTATCCGGCAGACGACTAGTCTTCACCGGGATAGAAAGCTGAAGCAATAAGCACAGAACTCCACTACTGGAATTAGATTCCAGTACAAAGCAGTAAACTGGCTAACTCTCGTATAGCCAATCTCCTACTACCGAATGATGAGACTCTAGCAACCTAATCAGATTCTATCTATCTCAGATTGCAGCAGGAATCAGGAAAAGTTGATCAGACTTCAATTGACTCAATAAACATGCATCATTCGATTATAATCAAACAATATAGCATCCAAAACTTCATACAAGAAAGATCCTAACTCATGGAACTAAGGTTCCTCAAAACCTAAGTGAAGGGAAGTTACTCCATAGAGAAGAGAGAGACTGCAGAAATCTGATCTAGATCTTCAATCTCCATCTCCAAGCTTGATTCCCGAGCTCCAATGGCGAAGAAATCCTTCAAAATAGCTCTAAGAATGTTCCCAAGTCGCTCTCTCTCTCTAGGGTTCGTCCCTTGGGTGTTTGGGATCCAAAACCCAGCTCTCCCCCTTTCCTTTTGCTGAAAATCGGGTTTTAAACAGCAATTCCCGACTCACACGGCCGTGTGGCTTTCCCAGCTGCCTGTGTGAAGGCTCGGTGATTTCCACACGGCCACATGGCCAGGTCACACGGCCGTGTGGGTTGTGCCCGTGTGGCTTGCTCAGCCTCTGTTTAATGCTTCGTTTCTCCCTCGTCCGGACTCCGAATCAGTCGCCGTTTGATCCCAGACGCTCGTAGTCTCGTCCTCTTTATTTTCATGACAAGCTTTCATGATTCTTTGCCCATAAAGTGAGGTAGAAATCCATTCTTCTTCAGGTCATACCCGAGTTTCTTCTCCCGAATCGTCAGTTGATCTCTGATTGACTTGAAACTTGCGCCTATGCTTCACTTTATGTGCTAGGACCTGAAATGTGACAAAGGAACACAACCTAGCGTAAAATAGGCCAAAGACACGATAATTCAAGCTCAAACAATCAAGAAACAAAGGGGAAAACATGTGCAAATACCGAGTCATCAAATCCCCCCACACTTAACTGTTTGCTTGTCCCCAAGCAAACCTAACTCAAACCAATGCAGCTCTCCAGAGCTCTATAGCAACATACAACCCCGATAGTCGGTAGAGGATTTCCTAGATCATATAGCAGCTTACGAGGTCAACTGGTCTTCTAAGACGTTCCCTATCTCTCTCAATGCGAGTACTAGACTCAAGCCAGGATCATGAGAAAAAGTAGAAGTAAGACAGTCAGTTCATGGATAAAGGGACTCACACCATTCACGACCAAGGATTCATTGTACCGGGGTGCTCTTTCACTTCATTTCACCGTTGGAACCCCTTTTTCTCACTTTCATTTTCATTTTTTCTTTTATTTGGTGGGGTTCCAACTGCAGTCTTTTGCACGGTCGACCCTTATTAGTCGAGCAAGAGCAATTTCTGTACATCTGGAGCTCGCTAGAGTACTTCTTTTAACTCCTTTTCCTCAACTCGTGTGGAGTGTCAATGAAATTAAGGGGGGTCGGAAGCTCTATCCGTGCCCTTAAAAACACATCCTCAAGTAGGCAAACCGTTCAACGGGTGGAAGTTTTATTTGTACTAGAGACAACTTAGCTTCACCTTGTAGGAGTACCCCACTAAGGATCACTAAAATCTCTTCCAAAACCCGATTTTTTTGCAATGAACGGTGCCGCACACGTTGGGCTTACCCCATGTTTAAGATTTAATGATTTTGACATGGAGGACCAACTGCTTCCCATTTTCCATATGAGCACCCTATTCGATACACGAGTCCATAACATAATCCAAACAGAGTCACCATTACCACATGAATTCAACGGTCTTAGCTCCACTAATTCACAAAATCAACTGGCACAACAGAGAGCTAGATAGGAAAAATCTTATACTTCAGCATCCTCCATAGTGCTACACTACCTCCCTAGGTTGCACATTACTATAGAGACTGTCAATTCAAAGCATATTGAGCAGACAATTTGCAAGGAAACACGTACTTGGAGCCCTCAAATTTAAAAATTTGGACAGTGGACTAGGCTCCAAGCACACAAACAGCCAAACATTCACCCGCATACATAATCGAACACCCCCCCACACTTAAGCACGACATTGTCCTCAATGGAGGAAAGATAAGGAGGGTAGAACGAAGTTACCAGATCAAGGGTGAATGATGATGTACGGGTCAAGCAGTGCATTCCAGGAAGAGAGAGTAATCAGAACACAAACACCACACAAAATCTCACAAAGGTTGAGTTATTGACTCTAAAATCAAATAACAAAACTGACTCAACCGAGGAGAAATAGAGAAAGAAATGCAAACCGACTGGTTGGGTTACCTCCCAACAAGCGCTTCTTTCACGTCGTGAGCCGGACGATGGCTCCTAAGTTCGGTCCATGCTAGAACCTCCTTGAAGTTGAGGTTCTCGTCGATGAGGTGGAGTCTCAAGTCACGAGCATGTGGTGTGGCAGGTGATGAAGGCTCATGTACTTGATGCAGATGAAGTCTCCACCCTCGAGACCTCTTCTTCTCTTCTCTCGTCTCATTGGCCCAAACCAGATATGACAGCATCGACCGACCACCATCGCGTCCACCAAGAGGGATCGATGTCGATGTGGCCTTGGTCTGGCAAAGAGACACTGCAAATGGGTCCTTGCCAAGCAGTTCCTCAAAGTTTGGTGGGGATATTACTTGCAACTCATGGCCGGTGCATGCCTCTTCCACCTCAACTTCATCCTCAGCCTGGACGCCAATTGCTTCCTCAACCCCCCTTCCTTCTTCAAAATGTGGTCTCTCCCCTGGGAAAAGATCAAGAACCACCTCTTCTTTTCTTTCTTCCTCATCATCCACAACTTCCTTCCTCATCCTTGCTCGCTCTTCTTCTTCTAGAACAGATTGGAGAGCAAGTCGCCAAGCAATTTCTTCAATGGGATCATCTTGCATCTCCTCGCACGGGCCCAGCATGTTAGAGCATAAATGAGGAAAGGTGTGGTCTGCAACCAAAGGACTTTCCTGATCATGGTTATCATGGGAGTTCTCTGTGATAACTTCTGTATGCTCCTCAACACTCCCATAGCCTTTGTCATCCTCCACCTCTTCTAGCGTGGTAGCAGAAAGGTGATCTTGAGCAAGATGTGAGCAAACTTGCTTCACCCATTCTGTTTGCTTCGCTGAGCGCTGAACAGTCTCCTCCATATCATGGAGAAATGAGGGATCGGAAGTGGCAAGGGCTTTGATTTGAAGATCCATCTTGGAGCATGATTTCTCAGTGTCTCGAGCAAACTGCTCCACGAGAAGCCTTAATTGTTCGTTCGGATCCTCCAGTGAAGTGTAGCATGGCTCTGCAGAGTGGCCCGTGAAGGCCGCCATGGGTAACTCCAGCTCCGATGGCCCTTCTGGTTGTGGGAGAAAGTCTTCTTGGTAATGAGGTTGTTCTTGATATGCCCAGGGGTCTGATTGTTCTCCGTAGTAAGGGGGTTGGTACTGGAACCCGAATCCATAGTCTTCTCCTCCTTGATTGCTGTAGGGAGTCGCGGGGTAATACCACCCGGATGGTGGTGGATACCCCCAATGATTGGAGAAGCCATTAGGATCCATGATTCAGATCTGCACCAACAAAAACAAAAACACCCAAGTGAAAAGCAAGGGTGGAAAAGAAAAGAAAAATGCTAAAGTAACAAACTTCTGCCTTTCCTAATACTCTAGAAAGTCCCCGGCAACGGCGCCAAAAACTTGATGCTCTAAAACACAACACCTAACAATGGCCAAGTGTAACCAATGAAAGGGACTGCAATATAGTGGCACACGTAATAAATATCGAATCCACGGGTCTCTAGAGTTATTATTACTCAGCTTCAGTTCATTATCTAGCAAACTAGATTAAGGATTGATTAACTAAACTATTCTACTAACTAAACTAAGGAAAACTACTAATTACAGTTTGGGAACTCACTTAGGTATGATTCCCCCTAGCTCCTCAATTAGGTCCAAGTTGTAATTCCTTTTGGTTGATTTACTGTTGATTAAACTGCGGAAGATCCGACAGTAGCTTGGAATCTCTTAAGCTGACCAAGCCCTCTCAGTCTAACTATCCGGCAGACGACTAGTCTTCACCGGGATAGAAAGCTGAAGCAATAAGCACAGAACTCCACTACTGGAATTGGATTACAGTACAAAGCAGTAAACTGGCTAACTCTCGTATAGCCAATCTCCTACTACCGAATGATGAGACTCTAGCAACCTAATCAGATTCTATCTATCTCAGATTGCAGCAGGAATCAGGAAAAGTTGATCAGACTTCAATTGACTCAATAAACATGCATCATTCGATTATAATCAAACAATATAGCATCCAAAACTTCATACAAGAAAGATCCTAACTCATGGAACTAAGGTTCCTCAAAACCTAAGTGAAGGGAAGTTACTCCATAGAGAAGAGAGAGACTGCAGAAATCTGATCTAGATCTTCAATCTCCATCTCCAAGCTTGATTCCCGAGCTCCAATGGCGAAGAAATCCTCCAAAATAGCTCCAAGAATGTTCCCAAGTCGCTCTCTCTCTCTAGGGTTCGTCCCTTGGGTGTTTGGGATCCAAAACCCAGCTCTCCCCCTTTCCTTTTGCTGAAAATCGGGTTTTAAACAGCAATTCCCGACTCACACGGCCGTGTGGCTTTCCCAGCTGCCTGTGTGAAGGCTCGGTGATTTCCACACGGCCACATGGCCAGGTCACACGGCCGTGTGGGTTGTGCCCGTGTGGCTTGCTCAGCCTCTGTTTAATGCTTCGTTTCTCCCTCGTCCGGACTCCGAATCAGTCGCCGTTTGATCCCAGACGCTCGTAGTCTCGTCCTCTTTCTTTTCATGACAAGCTTGCATGATTCTTTGTCCATAAAGTGAGGTAGAAATCCATTCTTCTTCAGGTCATACCCGAGTTTCTTCTCCCGAATCGTCAATTGATCTCTGATTGACTTGAAACTTGCGCCTATGCTTCACTTTATGTGCTAGGACCTGAAATGTGACAAAGGAACACAACCTAGCGTAAAATAGGCCAAAGACACGATAATTCAAGCTCAAACAATCAAGAAACAAAGGGGAAAACATGTGCAAATACCGAGTCATCATAGGGATTTAAGAGATTGTATCGATCAATTGATCCCCATTGATCGTGTCCAGCATCGATTTATACTTATCGAGCATTCTTCCACGTGAAAGATTGCACGAGAGTTCAGTATCCACAACATCAATCACCACTCTATTTTCAAGTTCTTATTTGACAATTGAACAAGCCCCATAAAATCACATCATAATCACATAAGAAAGGAATAGGGATGCAATTGATGTTATTCTTTCGATTATGCACATGAATTAGCACGAAAGAAACCTAAATATGAAGGGTAAATAACACCAATTTGGGTGTTATCAGTGTGCTCTGTAAATTTGGTAGCGACACAACAATCGACATCACTCATCAAGGTTAGGGTATAGTATCATGCCCCAAAATCCAGTTAATTTGATGATTTTAAACAAAATCATTCAAGATTTACTTAATTTGAATGATTTAGGGCTGGATTTAGGGTTAGGATTTACGTTTACAATTTGAGGTTTTGGGTGGGATTCAAAATTGAAGGTTAAGGGGTTAGGGTACTGGATAAATTAGTTGCGATTCTATGTTATATCTTCATTTTAGACTAATGCTACCAATTAAAGTTTAAAATTCGATCTATTATGACCACTTTTATAGTTGGGTGCATTAAAAAGTGAGTGCCCCGAAATAGGGGTGTTCAAACCAACTAGTTACCGTGGTAACCATTTTAACCGGTAGTATTTGTATAATTTAATTTAGTTAATTTGAATAATTGGTTTGGTTTGGCTAAGTTTTTTAGCTTGTTTGGCTTAGGTGGTTCGGTTTGGTTTCAAACACTCCTAACCAATCAAACCAAATTAACCAGTTAAGGAATTTTTTGTCATAGTAACCAGTTAAGTTATTAGCTACATATCTAATATATATTATATACACATACTTAATACTTTGCATAGCTACTCAAGATTCAAACGTTTCTTCCTTTAAGACTCATAAAAATAAAGCTCAATATTGTTCCTATATTGTATATTTGTATTTGTATAGTGTAGACCACAACATATGCATGGACGATCTAATTCAGATAAAATTTCATACAGTATGTTGGATCAAAACTTGAAAGGAAGGTCTTTTTTTTTTTTTGGTAGAAGACACACGCCAAAGCGTCTTAAATCACATTAATGATTGAACTTTCATGGGTGATCCCCAGTACATCATACATAATCAAGTATCGGCGACCTGGATAGCACTTACCGATAGGATGTGTGCCAAAATCAAGGTCGTGTCCTTTACAAGCAAGGAAATCAGTCGCAAAATTATATTCCCTGAAAGTGTGAGAGATAGAAACCTCTCAATCAAGATCCAGCAGCCGATTAATCGCCAGCACTGAGATTCCATGTCTGTGGTTTATGTCATTTATGTTCTCAAAAATGCAAATGGTTGTAGTTGAGTCGGTGTAGAGGCAGACTTTCCTGTAACCAAGCTCCCACACCAGGGCCAGTCTTGTTTATGAAAGCCAATCACAGAGAAGAAGAAAAAGTACGCACGATTTACGCGGTATCCCTGAAAATCCAGGACTAATCCACGAAAGAGCTAGAACCCTTCGAGCACCAATTCACTATCATAGTTTTCGTGTACATCCACCATTGTTACAGCTCAAGATATATCCCCACACCCCAAACGTTACTACGTAACCAAACACACATTCCCCAGCACCCAAAAGCCTTTACTATGTAACTGAACCCCTAGAAGTGGAAGAAACACAACCGCCCACCAAGACTTCTCACGATCGGCCAAGCCTTAGGCAAGAGGCCCAATCAAAACAAAACACTACCACCTAACTACACAACATATTAAAGTTTATGTACAAAAGAACGAGATACTCTCGTCTAACAGCCTCCCCCAAATTGATGCGGAGTAGTGAGCATCAATTAGCTAGACAAGTACCAGTGGCGAATCGAAGGAAAAGCCTTGGTCAATATATCAACAGCTTGCTCGTCCATGCGTATGTAATGCAAAGTAACCTCGCCATCCCGAACCAAGTCACGAATATAATGAATGTGGATCTCGATATGTTTAGTACGATCATGCAAAACAAGATTAACGGCGATACGAATAGCACTTGTATTGTCAACAAAATGATCCATTAGAAGAGGACATACCATGTCGGGATCAACCAAAAGTCTACAAAGCCACGCGAGCTCTAAATCAACATCGGACATGGAGTGATACTCTGCCCCAGTAGAAGACTTAGATACCTTATCCTGCTTCTTGCAACGCCACGAAAGAAAAGCATCACCATACTGAATGCACTAGCTAGTAGTAGACCGACGAGTGTCAACACACTCGACAAAATCGGAGTCAGAATATGCACGTAAACCAACTAGTTCGGTCGAAGGAAAGGACATACCAAAATCCCGAGTACCTTGGAGATATCGTAGAATTCTATGAACTGAGGCAAGATGATTGGTACGTGGAGCATACATGAATTGACTCACAAGCTGGACAACATATGATATGTCAGGACGAGTAGCTGACAGGTAAATGAGACTACCAACAATACTATGGTAGGAAGTGTCGTCAACAGGATGGGTACCAAAGTCACGACCCAATTTTAAATTAAGTTCCATTGTTGTGGCAGTAGGTTTACAGTTTGCAAAATGATGATCCTCAAGAAGATCAGTAATGTACTTACGTTGACTGAGCAAAACACCTTGAGAGCTACGAGTAACCTCGAGGCCGAGGAAATAAGAAAGCTCGCCAAGATCCTTTAGGCTAAAAGAGGCATGGAGACCCTCTTTAAGATGTTGTATACTAGCAGAATCAGTCCCGGTAATGATTATATCGTCAACATAAAGCAGTAAAGCAACAATCCTAGTGGACGTGGATCAAGTGAACAAAGAGGGATTATTCATACTCTCCTTGAAACCCAAACTAGTGATAGTAGACTGAAACTTCTCAAACCAGGTCCTAGGCTCCTGTTTAAGACCATATAAAGATCGTTGTAAGTTGCATACTTGATGAGAAGTGCCAAGAGTATAACTAGGAGGACGCTCCATATAAATGACTTCCTCTAAATCCCCATGGAGAAAGACATTCTTGACATCCATCTGATAAAGCGACCAATCCTGTTGAGATGCAAGTAAAGTGCGGACGATAGACATTTTTGCTATAGGGGCAAAGGTCTCGGTATAATCAACACCATACTCCGGGGTAAAACCTTGTGCAACGAGCCTGGCCTTGTGACGATCAACTGTACCATCAGGATTCATTTTAATTGTATAAACCCATCGACACCCCACAAGTGAAGTCGTCGGTGGAGGACGAGGTACCAATGTCCAGGTGTTATTTGCATGAAGAGCAGCTAATTCACGTCTCATGGCATGATCCCAAACTGGATCTCCCTGAGCTTGTTTGTATCGAGTTGGTACAATCAATGATTCAACACCATGAGCCACATAATCCTGAAATCGAGGTGGAGGTTAACTTTGGCCGCGCGAAGAGAGCAACGAAGAATATGAGGATGGGCCGAAGGTGTAGAGGGCGTACTACCAAGAGATGACAAAGATGAACCGGATGAGCTGGCTGTTGAAGAAGATCCAGCCGTGACTGGTAAAAAATGATCGGTGGGAGGCAGACCGTTATGGAGAGGAGGAGTAGGAGGGTTGTCAGGAGGAAGAGTGGAATCATCACCATCAACATCATCAAACATAGGAAAGGACTTAGTAGCGATTGGAAAACACTCAGTAGGTGACTCGGAAGAGTAATACATGACATGCTCAAAGAATACAATTGTGGCAGCTATGCGCATATGCTGTAAAGTAGGATCAAAACATAGATACCCCTTATGCACATCACTATACCCTAGGAAGACACACCTAACTGTCTTAGACGATAACTTGGTACCATCACGCTTAGGAAGAAGAACAAATCACAAATAGACAAAGACTCTAAGACGCGTATAATCAGGAAGCTTTGAAAATATAGCATAATGGGGACTAGTATGATGCAAAATAGGTGTAATTTGGTAGTTTATCAGTCGAACTGCAGTAGCAACTACCTCGGGCCAAAAACTACCAGGAACATGAGAATCAAGAAGAAGTGTACGCATAAGCTTGACTACATGACGGTTTTTGCGTTCCACGCGACCATTTTGTTGTGAAACTCCAGGACAGGACATCTGACTCAAAATGTCCATGGAATGATAGACATCATGCAAAGGAGTAGAGCTGAATTCACCACTAGGATATGATCGACTGATTTTCACTGTTCGACCAAACTGAGTTTGAATCATTTTTAAAAACTCAATGGTTACAGAACGAAGCTCATATTTCAAACGTAGAAAGTAAATCCAGGTAAAACGATTAGTATGATCAACAAAAAGGGCAAAATAGAAATATCCACGTCTAGAAATCATTGGGGATGGACCCCAGAGATCAGTATGAATGATATGAAAAGGCTCACTGATAACAGTAGTACTCAAAGGAAAAGAAGAACTCGTAGTTTTCGCTTCAACCCAACCAGTACAATAATGTTTTGCGGAAAGACCAACAGTATTTTTACCAAGCAAAGATTGCCTAAACATCATAGACATACAATCATTATTCGGATGACCCAAGCGAGAATGCCAAAGACCCCATAAATGGTCAGACTGACTCGAGAAACTGAAAGGAATAGAAGTACCAGACAACAATGACAGACTCAGACTATTGAGACTCCTACCAAGATGACTGACGATAGGCGATATGGAATTATCATGAAGCTCCTCGAGATGAAAAACTCTCCCTCTTTTACTCCCCCTTCTGATCTGCCTCCCCATCTTCAAATCCTGTATGAAACATCTAGACGATGCAAATAACACAGAACAACTTTTCTCAATAAGCTGTCCAACGGAAATCAGGTTAGGAACAAGAGTAGGGACATGCAAAGTTTGAGATAATGATAACTTTGAATAAGCTATGGAACCAATCCCATCAACTTTCAACTTCGCACCATTTGCTACTTGAAGTGCCATGTTCTTAACAGAAACTAAGTTCTTAAGACTGCTAGCGTTAGATGTCATGTCATTAAATCACGCAGAGTCTAATAACCAAATAGAGTTTGTACCTGAGCACTCAAGGGTAGCAAACGCAACACTAATCGTAGTTGGAAGCGACTTTTGGAGAGCCACGTTGAACATCTATTCGGCAGCAGTGGCTGGCAAAGACGTGTTGTCATCGGTCCCGTTTGCTCCAACGTGGGTAGTAACAAACACAGGGCTATCACCAGGACGTTCAACACCCACCAAATTTCCAGCCGACCAATTCCCTCCACCTCGCGACGAGCTTTCAGCGTGCCTAGACCCACCAGTTTGAGTACCAATTCGAGCCTCATTCCTCTATTTACTCCGAAAATCCAATATAACATGACCTGAGCGTTTACAATAAACGCAGAAATTACGACGTCTGCAATGCTTCTACAGATGGCCTTTCTCATGGCAATGGTGACAAATGATTTCATTTATCCAAAAACCTGTCAAATTAGCAGCAGAGGTGCTGAACACAACCTCCCCTTCACATGGCCGAATATCAAGCTTGGATTGAGTCCGAAGTCGGGTTTCTTCTCAGATGAGTTGAGGTAAAATTCCATCAAAGGTCAGATCATCTTTATTTAGCATTGTTGATCTCACTGTTTCGAAGAAAGAAACACAACCGTCCACCAAGACTTCTCACGATCAGCCAAGCCTTAGGCAAGAGGCCCAATCAAAACAGAACACTACCACCTAACTACACAAAAGCCCAACATATAAAAAGTTATGTACAAAAGAACGAGATACTCTCGTCTAACAGTTTCCACCGCCTTCAGTTATGCTCTTGTGATGAAACATGTATCCAGGTTGATAAAAAGCCTTGTGGCGTCTACCAGTATGGTCTCTGAGCAGCCCACCCGTAGTCGCCTTGTTCCCTGTCATCACTGATCCATCGTTGTTGATCTACATCCATCCTTCCCTTGGTGGATCCCATCCAAGGTTGCAGGTTGTCTTTCTACCATGTTGTCCTTCCTCTATTCTTCTGTCACATCTTTGAGCATTTCTCACAATATTGAAATACACAAGGTTCCTGTGGAGGTGGCTCTGCTCGTTGTAGGTCTTTCCCTCCATAGCTTCCTTATTCTTCTGCTTCCAAATGTGCCAAAGGATGATGCCAAAATCAGCTCCTTTTTCATTGTATTTGAGGTTATTAAGGAGCCAGTGCCTGAAATTAGTACTTTGGTCTTCATGCATTACCGAAGGATGTGCTCTATTGTTTCCTTGATGCCATTGTAGTGCTTGCAGTTGCCGTCACTTGTAAGTTTCCTATGGAGCCTTTCCTGGTTGGTCAGAAGTCGATCATGTAAGATCAACTAGAGGAAGTGTATGTTCCTATTGGGTCCCTGCCATTTCCATAGTTGCTTCCACTCTTCACTTCTTGTCAAATCCAGCTCGTTGGCTACCAGTTTGTAGGCAGATCTCAAGCGAAATCTACCATCTAGTTCAATTCCCTAGATTCTTGTATCATCTCCAAGGTTCTACTTTGGTGTTTCAGTACCTGCAAAGAGAGACAAGACATCATCAAGTAGGAGCCCATTCAGCATTTCCCAATCCCAAGTCCAGAAGAGTTCACCCAATTGCACAGTAGTTCATCCCTTTCTTCATCAGTAATGCTGGAAAGGAGGAATTCCTCTAGGACGTTCCCTCATTAACCGCAAGTCTTCATCAGTAATGTTGTATTAGTTTGGATGGTATGGTTATGATATTGTATTTCGTGTTTAATAAAATTTAGACTTATTTGGTTTGGTAATTACCATGGTAATCATTTGAACACGCCTGCACCGAAGTAACATGATACAAATCTCTAATGGGTGAACCTCAGTCCCTAATTCTCTAACCCGAGCCACAAGATTTATTTAATGTAAAAAGTTTATAATCGACGGTTCTGATTCAGCGAAATATATTGAAGTGCAAATAACAAGTGTGAACATACGGGTACATAGTAAGCTAGGCTAGCGTACGCCTGCGTTCATCCACACACACACACCGAGTTTTCTTATCGTACGCTTATCTTATCGTACACCCATCGAGTTTTCTTATTTAGATCATGAATTAACTAAAGTTTTGGCGTAATACTATACTTAGGGGTGTCGGTTCGGGTCGGGTTCGGTTAGCCGAACCGAAATCCGAAAACCCGAAACCAAAAACCACTAAAACCGAACCCGAACCCGATAAGGACTTGCGGGTTCCGGTTACCCAAAACCCGAAAATTCCTTATCGGGTTCAGGTTCGGGTTCGGTTAAAGCAAAACCGAAACCCAAAAACCTGAATGCCTAAGAATACGGGCTTAGTTCTATTCATTGGAGGTTTTTAGACGAAACCCGAAAAACCGATAAGCAAAACCGAACCCGAAACCAAAAAACCTGAAACCCGAACCCGAAAACCCGAAAATGTATGTAATCGGGTCGGTTTCGGGTAAACCCGAAAAACCGAACCCGAATGGACACCCCTAACTATACTCTAACTTTGAATGGGTAAAACCCATTCCTCAGTTCTCTAACCCAACTCATAAGATTCATTTAATCTTAAAATGAATATCAACAATTTTGATTGGTCATAATAATAAAAGTATAAATAATCTCTAGGATTTGGCAACCTACGCAACTAATGAACTAGCTGATCATGGGAGATAGGGTTTTGGGGGAACATTAGCCAAAATGAGATTCCCATATCACATTCAAAATCTGCGACCAGAACAAGGAATCAGTGACTAGCCTT